TTGAACAAGTCCCACCTTCTCTTTTTTCTTTCCTTGTTTTCCCTCTCAACCTCTACCATGTCGGAGAAATTACAAGTGGCTGCTTCTAAGGTTGCCTGCTGGCTAAATTATCTGCCTTATGTAGTCTACCCCTGCCCTCTGGTGGCCAGAGTATGCTACCACAGTCCACTTCAAAGATAACTGGCCCCAGGTAGCGTGAAGAGTTCTTTAATAGGTTTGCAACTTTGGAATTACATTATCTGAGCCTATTTGTCCTTTTGTATTATGATTGATGGAAAGATTAAATGATAAGTGAAACAGTGCTTGACATATAATAGGCAATCAATAACTCTTCCTTTTTAATGAAAGAGCCCTTCTTAGGAACAGGGCAAAGAAAACTTGAGTTTTATCTATTGATCAAGTTGGGGGTTCTGGAACACTAAACCCCAAGATCTGTCAGTGGTAGAAAGGGCTGGTAAGGCAGGTCCCCTGCCTCTAGATGGTACCGGTAAAGTTCCAAATAGGGATCGACAGTAATGACAATAGATAACATTCATAGAAACTTAGTCTGTGCCAGGTACACCTTTTTGTCCTCACAACAGCACGAGGTAGGTGCCTAGTCCCAGAACATTAGCCTATAGAGTGGATTGGTCAACAGGGCAAAACGAAGTCCTCGAGTGGGGTTGGAGGGACCAGAGTCAGGGAGAAACCACAGGGGGCCTGGTGAAGACTGTAGACTAAGAAGGGATAATATCAACCTCTTTTAGTTTAAAAAAAAAAAACAAAGCATCAAACAAAAAAACCCTAATGTCCAATAGAATCGAAGTTTCAGCCAACATAAGCCGGACTGCAAAAGCTCTCTTTTGGATTTGATTTCGATCTACCGGGATCTAATTCATATGATGTGTTAAATGAGTCAAGAATGTGAGATTTCTTTTGTTAAAAAAGAAAGTTTAAACACATATTTACTGAATACTACTATGTGCAAGGCACTTAGACAAAGCCTTTCATACTAAAGTTTTGTGTGTATAATTAGAGAATCCTGCAATAACTTTCTGTAGAAGGAAACAGGTTTAACTCTCTATATTAGAATTCTTCATTATTAAAACCAGCAGAGAGCCATTGATGATTAAGTAGCTAGGAACTAAAGTGTTTTTTTCCTTTTTGCAATTACTGATTATCGCTTTTAGCTGTTTACCCACCATTGTTGACTGTGCTGCTTAGGCACTATGCTATCTGACTCCCACTAGGCTCCTATAGATAACATCTCCCTGGAGCCTGGGTCACCATGGGAATGGGTATGTGAGCTGTTTCTCAGGAATTAGAACTCCTTGTCCACTTCATGCCGGTTGAGACCACCAACTCATTAACTGGGCCCACGCAGATGTCCGATAGGCAACCTTTTGATGTCACGAGGCTAAAAACTGCCCCCTCAGATCATGCTAACACTGCCATTTTGTGAACATGCATCCTATGAAGAGGCATGGAGTCTGACTACACTTGCACAGATCATCAATTACCTCACCTCTCCTCACCTCCAATCACCTCTCTCCATGTTTGACTACGTTGCCCCCTTACCCCATAAATATCCCTGAGTCCCTATTTTCGGGGAAGCAAATTTGAGGCTCATGCTCTCGCTTCCTCACGTGGCTGCCTTGTGAGTAAAATCTTTCTCGGCTGCAATCTCATCATCTCGGTGTTTGGCTTTCTGGGTGGTGGGCAAAAACAAACCTGGTTCGGTAACATTATCAAAGAACAGATTATAACCTGGACTGGAATAATATTTGAGGCAATGATATTCATGGAAAAATTTTGCAAATCTTTTTAAATAGAAGACAACCCCCAATTTATCTCCAAGTCATTTTCAAGTACAACCAATGCTTCATAGAGCTTTAAAAATAAGGTAGCTTTGACACATTACATGTGTGTATCAATTTAGACACAAATGTTTATTGAAGTGCCTACGATGTGCCCAGCACAGTGCTAGGCACCAGTCAGGTTACAATGGCTGACTGGTCCTTGCTCTCATGGAGCTTACAGTCTAGTTAAAGAGCCACAGAACATTGCTAAACATTTAAGTGCTTAACTGAGTAGAAGAGACAAGAAGTGCTGAGGAGTTGCGGGAAAGAAGGGTGGAATAGGTACTGGAGTCTTCAAGAAAGGCTGGAAGAAAGAGGACTCCAGTTAGTTCTTGAAGAATGTGTAGGGCCTAGCTTGGTAGAGAGCAGGGAGAGACATTCAGGCAAAGGCACACTAGCAGACATGGGTACGGAGTGGAAGACAATGGTGGTGGAGGGGACAGCGCACACACTGAGCAACCAACCCGGAAATGCAGATTGTAGTCAACTCTTAGGGGGTGCTAAAACTCAGCTGAATAATCTATTCTTTTAATTTTTTTTAGGCATTTGGGACCTTCCACAGACACTTGGGCAGGAGAAATGACATGATGACAATAGATCTAACGTTATGTGCAAAACGGACTTCAGGAGAAAGGTGAGGGAAAAAATTAGAAATTGTGTCAGTAACCCTGGCACAAGATGAGAGCAGTTAGGTGCTGGCAATGAGACAGAACTGCAGGACTTAGCCAGGAGACATTGTTTTCCTCTCCTAAGTGTTAAGAATTTAAAATAGGTATAGTACTTTTAATTCAAATTATACTAGTTTGTTAAAAGGAAAAACATCCAAAATGAGCTTTAAAAAAACACCTGTTTAAACATCTGTTGTTTTTGTGATTGTCGTTTTGTTGTGTGGAAGCAGTACTTTCTATGATTAATCTGCTTTATACATCTGTTTCAGTTAAGTAACTACAGAAAGAAAAATAACTGAATTGCTATGGGTTTGTGACACAGCCACAAAATTAACTTGAAGGTGGGGGAACTACAGTAGTCCCCTCTTATCCAAGGAGGATATGTTCCATGACCCCCAGTAGATGCCTGAAACTCCCAATAGAATCAAACCCTATATATACTATGTTTTTTCCTATACATACATACCTATGATAAAGTTTAATTTATAAATTAGGCACAGTAAGACATTAACAACAGTAATAAAATAGAACAATTATGTCAATATATTGTAATAAAAGTTACTGTAGATCTTAACAACCTCAGCATACAATTTTTTTTTCTTTCCTTAAGTTGAGAACTTTCACCTTTTCACTTGAAGGAAGCCCTTGTGGCTTCTCTTTGGCATATCCGAATTGCCAGCATCTCTACTCTTGTGCTTTGGGGCCATTATTAGGTAAAATAACGGTGACTTGAACACAAGTACTGCAATACCGTGACAGTTGATCTGATAACCAAGACAGCTACTAAGTGACTGACAGGCAGGTAGTGTATACAGTGTACACGCTGGACAAAGGGAGGATTCACGTCCTAGGCAGGGTGGAGAGGGATGGCACGAAATTTCATCACGCTACTCAGAATGGCGCACAATTTAAATCATATGAATTATTTATTTCTGGAATTTTCCATTTAATATTTTCAGACCATGGCTGAATGTGGGTAACTGAAGCTGCAGAAAGTGAGACTTCGGATAAGGGGGGACTACTGTGCACTACAACACTAAAAGGTGTTGTGTGTGCATCTTCTAAAAAATGAAACTGCCATTTATCTTACTTATTAGGAATAGATACTAGGCTTATAAAGGATATTAAGAATGCCTTCTCTATAGGAGAAAAACTTTAATATAAATCTGATTATATATTTATATAGTTTTAAATAACTTAAAATCAACTCTGCTCTAGCAGACTTCTCTGAAGAACAAACACACAAAGGAATAAAGGTGACTTATGAAGTAATTTTAGTGAAGGCAAACATAGTGTGCCCTCATATTAATTACACGGTCCAGGCTGGATTATCCACAGGTAATCCACACAGAGGAGCCGAGCAAATCATCCAAATAGAGGACGATCCAAACACCGACACAGGTTGCCTTTCTCACAAACTTCCTTCTCATCTTGTCTGGAAATTGAGAGATACACGGGACCGTATGGATCATGCGTGTTCTCTCCCACGATCCTGATTAACAGGATTTTCAGATATTATACCATGTCTCCCAGATTGTATCATGTCTCCTCTTTAATGCACTTTATTTCCCTGTACCCTAGATCCCTATTAATAATAAGCCTGTAGCAGTGCAACGTGTTTTAATAGGCTAGATAGCTCATGTTAATTCTTTGGGCATAGACAGATATACCTTTACTGAATAACTGGCTAACTGATGGGGCATTCAAGAGAATAGCTAAGAATATTCTAGAGTTACCAAATCAGCAGAGAGGAGTTGACAACTCTGGAGTAAGAAGAGCTGATGCTTTGATTGATTGATTGATTGATTGACAGTTAGTGATTGGGAGTATTCAGATGGCCTGCTGAAAAGTGCTAGAATCCAGCTAGACCAGCGGATTCTCAAAGTACTGACCCCAGACCACATCAGCATCAGCATCACCTGGGTACTTGTTAGAAATGCAAATTCTAGGGCCCCTCCACTGAATCAGAAACTCTGGAGGCCAAGCGCAGCAATCTGGGTTTTAGCAAGCCTTCCAAGTGATTCTGAAGTGAGCTAAAATTTGGAAACCGCTGAGCTAGACTTACTGGGAAGAAGCTGGCTCCAGACCCATAGTGTGCTTGATTTTCCTGTGGTTAATTCAGTAGTTCCCAAACTTTTCTGCACATTGGAATCACCTTGGGAGCTTCAGAAACTACTGATGCCTGTAGCCCAGCACTAGAGATTGTGGTTTAATTGGTCTGGGATAGAGCCTGGGCTTTGGAAATGTTTTAAAGATCCTCAAGTGATCCTCAGGTGCACACAAGTTTTGGAACCACTGGATTAATAAAAAGAGAACACATATATTAGGCAAATTTTATTTCCAAATTTCATTCGAGGAAATTTCCTGATTATTTCAGAGGAGTGGAATGTTGTCATAATAATATTGCTTAAAATTTAAGTTCAATACCCTATCTAAAGATCTTTATTCTTGTAAACTACATCTTCTAAATTAAAAGAGGCAGTTAATTCCCACATTATTTTGTTTGCAGGAAATCTGTAATTTTGGAGTCAACAAGAGTCTGTGTCACTCTTCTCATTAAATATTCATCTATGCCATTTAGCTGCCCAAAAATGGCATCAGGAACGCCTACACAAGTGGAAAGGAACCGTCTAAGTTTCTGTGCACTTGAGATGGCCTCTGTGATGGTGATTTTTGGCTGCTGTGGTAAAGATGCCTCCCCCTCATCTTCACTTCCAGCTTCATCAGTATTTTCACTGGCCACCATGCCCTGGATGACCTCTGTGTCCATCAGCTCCTGAGAGATGATGAGATCATCATCTGCAGTGACAAAGTCCTGGAAATTTATTTCATTTGGGACACAGGTGGCAATAGCCACTGAGTGCCACAACTTTTCGATGGCAATATCTGGTTCAATAGCTGCTGCTTCTGTGTTAGAATCTGTCAGTTCCATAGGGATGATGCCTGCCTTCTGCCAGCATTTCACCACTGTGGACTGCTTGACTGACCACCACGCTGCAGCAATCATGTCAATGGCCTGCTTGATGTCCACTTTTCCTTGATCCTCATTGCTGTTGAGCTTGAGCAGGATCTGTTTTAGAAGGTGGCTCCTGTACAGCACTTTCATGGTGTGAATTATGCCAAGATTCAGTGGCTGCAGGACGGCAGTACAGTTTGAGGGCAGGTACCCCACTTGAATCCTTTCCAAGCGTGGAAGCATGTTGTGAGCAGAGCAGTTGTCGATAAGCAGGAGGATCCGGCGTTCCGCCTGCTTCATCCTGGTATCCACTTGTATCAGCCACTCATTAAACAGATCCTGCGTCATCCATGCCCACTGGTTGGCTCGGTAATCACAAGGGAGGGAATGGACGTTCTTGAGGCAGCGTGGGTTGGCTGACCTACCAACAATCAATGGTCTCATTTTTTCAGTCCCTGAAGCATTGCAACAAAAGAGTGCTGTCAACCGCTGCTTTGCTTTCTTGCCCCCTCTACAATGGTCCCCTTTAGCAGCAAGCGTGTGCTGGGGAAGCAACTGGAAAAACACTCCTGTCTCATCAGCGTTAAAAATATCATCTGGGCTGTAGTCAGCAATCAGTTTTATAATTTCCCCTGCATGCCACTCATTAACCTTATCTATTCCTAGACCATTCATTAATCTGTCACTATCCTCTCTACAGACTGCTTTCAAAGCAATTCCATGGCGATCCCTAAATCTGTTCAGCCAGCCCACACTTGCTTGAAAATTGTTATAGCCAAGCATGTTGGCCAAGTTCAGTGCTTTTTTCCGAATGACAGAACCAGTCACGAGAATGTTTTTGGCATGGATTTCTTGAAACCAAGCAAAAACAGCCTTATCAATGTCGTCATAGAGAGCATTCCTCATCCTTTTCCGCTGGGGTCCCACAGTTGCCTCCCGCACCTTTTCTTCAAATTTGACGCGATCCTTTAAGAATGTAGACAAAGTAGAAGGAGTGATACCGAATTCTTTTGCTACATCGCCTTTCCTCTTGCCTGAGTCTACAGCTTCCACAACTTTCATTTTCTCCTCCAGGGAGAACTGCCGACGTTTCTTGTTCCCTTTGTTTGCCATCTCCACAGTATGACGGCTGGGCCACACTACCAGGGCTGTGTCTGTTCGTCCTCTTGGCTTGTTTTGCCACAAGTGTGGAAAACTGAGAAGACAAATGGAGTACCTGTCAGGAACCAAATATAAAGGATTCCCCCTAAAAGATGGGTTCAGGTTTTTAAAAACCCTATTAGGAAATGATAATATAAGGTCAAAGTCAAGAGAAGATAGGATTCATGCTACTGACTTTGTAGCGATTACTTATATAGACTCATAGAATGTTTGAAATAGAAGAGCTCTTTCAGAAAATCTAGTTTAAACTTTCTGAGCCTCTGTAAAAAAAATAATGTCTACTCTGTCTACTATGAGCATAGACTGAAATAATAGATGGTAAAGAGCTGTGCAAATAGCAATGTATTGTATAAATTCAAAGGATTATTATCTGGTTTGCTTTATAGATACAGAAACTGAGGACTGGGGAAGGGGCCTACCCAAGTTCATACAGCTCAGATCTCTTGACTCAGATTAGTGCTATTTCTGCCACTTCATAGTCCTACTTGAAATTCTACCAAAATGAGATCTTCAAAGCTCTATGGCCATGTGGCTTGGAAGGATTTTCACTGTGGGAAGATGTTTCTGGTAACCACGCATCATTTAACGACTATTTACAGGTGCCAAGTGATAAGGACACAGTGATGAACAACATAGTCAAGGTCCCTGCCCTCATGAAATATACAGTGTAGTAAGGGAGATAAACAATAAGCTAACAGATAGGTAAGACGATTACAGAGTGTGATATGTGCCATGAAGGAAGTAAACACCATCCAGCACTAGCAATTTTGGTAATTTCCTGCTTAGACCTTCTATCATGAGAGTCCTCAAAAGACAAGAGAAGCTGCTGTGACCTTATGCTGTGACTGCCCCTCCCTAAGGGCTGATTTCTACTACCACCTCCACACAGCTGTCTATCCATTCATGGCACCCTCCATGGGCTAAGCACTGTGCTCGATGACAGCCATACATAGATGATTGGAGCATAGTGCTTACCACTGAGGAGCTTACCAGGGAAGCAGGGACTACCAACACTAGAGTGTATGGAATACTATACAAGAGGTTACAGAGTACTATGAACTAGAACACAGAAGTGGGGATGATCAACTGGGTGGGGCATGGATGGGCAGTATACTTCAAACAGGAAACAATATTGATGTTGGGCCTTAAAGTATAAACAAATATGAATTAGTGAGATGGAAGGAAATACGTGTAAAGGCAATGAAGTACTGTAGAAAACAAGACGGCACTGTGAGGAAGAAAATAAGTCTTTGGAGAAGAAAGTAAGAGCTAAATCACAGACAGGCCTAGTAAGGATTCCAGCTTGATCCTGGGATAATAAGAGGTCTTTAGAGTTTCTTGGGGTTTTTTGGAATGACATGATCAGATTTGCACTTTAGAAAGAGTCCTTTGGTTGCAGGGTGGAGAACCTAATGGGTAAAGTCCACTTTCCTAAGAGGTAGCCCTAAATCTGAAGATAAAAGCAGGCTAGGCTAGCAGGCCATAAACAGTTGGGATACGTTCATTTGAGTCCAAGAGGAAGCTACTGAAGGATTTTAGGCAAGCAGAAATATGCCTGCTCTGTGAAGAATGGAATGGAAGGGTGTCAGAGCAAAAGCAGGAGAGTAATCAGGAGGCAGCTGCAGGAGTCCAGAGGTGAGATAATGGTGGCCTGGATTACAGTAATAGTAGAGATGGTAAGAAGTAGTAAGTTTGGGGCTGTTTTTGTAGATCTTGCTGATAGACTGGATGTGAGTTGCAAGAGGAGTCAAGGATAACTCCCAGATTTCTGGCTTGAGCACTGAGCAGTCCAGCAGATGGTGGCCATTTACTGACATGAGAACCAGTTACTGAGCATATACTTGGTAAACATAATTTGTTACTTTATATGCTTAATACAGCTTACATGTGGCAAGACTGGGCTTCAAACCCAGGGAGGCTTACCACAAAACCAGTGTTCTGAACAGTATAGAGTGCTATACAGCTTGTTCCGGGAACTACGGCTGTTGAGAAGAGACGTGGAAAGAAAATGAAGCAAGAGCCAAACCAAAGTCTTGTAGGTCAAGGTAAGTTTGAATTTTATTCTAAGTGAACGAGAAGACGCTGGAGGGTCTTAAGTAGCGAGCGACCTAATTAGACTTACAGTGCAAAAAGATCAATCTGGCTGTTGTGTGGAGAAAAGATTGTAGAGGGACTAGAGTGGAGGTGGGAAGAAATTTCTTAGTCCAGGCGGGGGATACTGGTAACTACAAGACTGGTGGCAGTGGTAGATGAAGAAAAGCGGGTAGATTAGAAATACATTTGCAAGATAGTGAGGGTCGTGAGAGGACTTGAACAAATGTGGGACAATCTGTGACAGTGGCGGGAAAGGACAACACATTCCTTATCTGATTCCGGAGCCTCTCCACCTGGCCATTCAGCTCGTTCTGAATCACTCCAGGAACTCACTGCCGTTACTGTGTGTGGGACGGTGGGGGGATGGATGGCGAGCGGGCCGAGGAGGGCGGATTGTTGCGGCGCCAAGAAATAAGAACCCTATCCTGAACGAGTGGGGACAGACTGAGGAGGGCTGGGGTCAAGGCTTGAACACCAGGCGGGGAGGGTGGTGCTGGGGCTCCCTAGGGCCCGACGCGGCTTTGAGAGGTGAGGCGGGGCCTCGACCCCTCACCTCGGCGCAGCCCCGCCCCAGTTACCTGAACGCCCTACGGCAATGCCCCGGCACTAAGTGGCCCGGGCCTCCCACCGCGCGCGGGCGCAGCTTCCTCCTCCTCCCGGAACTTCTAGCCGGAAGCTGTCCGTCCGCCTTAGCAGCCCCTGTCTAAGCCTCTAAGCTGTTCCTATGGGCCCGCCCCTGAGCTAGAGCTGTACTGTTGCGCTTGCGCAAACAGTCGCACGCAGTCACGCGCCGCCGGCTGCTTCCGGTGCGCCGCGAGGGCTGCCGGGACGGGTCTCCCTGGCGATCCGAGGTGTGCTGCCGCTGCTGCCACAGAGCCGGTCCCGCGGCGACGCCCTTGTGCCTGCTGTCTTCCTCGGGCTCCCCGGGGCTTGACCCCCCCCCCCCGGGGCCCTCGGCAGGCGTCGGTGAAGAGCCTGCGGAGCGAACCTGTGCTCCCACACCCGCCCTCCACGACCCCATATCGCAACTCCAAGGAGGGGGAGCGAGAAGGGCCGTCGCGACTCCGCGCCCTGTGTCGCCGGGCGGCGCCGCGGGGCCGGAGTTCAGATAGCCCCCGGGATGCGCGCGCGAGCCCTCGCCTCCACTTCCTTGTTGCCACTGTCACGACTGGAGCCGCCTCTCGCCGACAGCCGGGAGCGCGAGTGCGCCCGCCAGCCCCCTCGTCGAGCCCCCGGGCCGGGCGCCTCCGGGAATGTGAGCCGCGTGGCTTGCACGCTCCTCCGGGTAAGTCCCGCCCTGGAGCGCCGCTGCACCGCGAACCCGCGGGTGACCTCGAACTGGGTGCTGCGCCTCTCTGAGCCTTGTTGCATCTTCCACAAAGTAGGAACAGGGAGCCTTCGTCGTGTCTTCCCGCATTCAGTGCCTTTGGGACATCTAAGACCCAGAGAGGGAAAGGAACTAGCCCAGAGTCGAACCGTGGCCCATAGCTGAGCCGTCACAGCCCATCCCATGAGGTTCCGAGGAGGATCTGATGGGATAGTGAAAGTGTCTCTCAAATTTTAAGTACTGCCCTTCACCCTGTTTTACAGATGAGAAAACGGAGGCTTAGAGAGAGTAAGTAGATTGCTCAAGGTCATAGAGCTCTGTGCGGATGCTATTAAAATGTGTAGCGTAAATTAGAATCCTGATCTTCTCCCCTCCAGAGCCCTTTGTTTTAACCTTTATATTATCCTGCTTTTTTTTTCGTCTTTTTGCCTTGGCGTACTGAGGCCTAGGATCTGAAAACAGTTTTGACCCCAGGCTTAAAATGGGGTAGTCTCTTCCTGCCCGCACCCCATGGTGGTTGTAGTGACGTTGTTTCCTGACTTGTTTTGTTCTGGGTGCTAAAATCTTATATGCTGTTTTTTACAGATGCTCGCCTGCAGTTATTGCTTTTCTCTGCAAGACTCTCAAGAGCTGAGAAGTCCATTATTAAGGGCAAAAAAGCACAGTCCCTACATAGCCCTGATTTGAACTCTAGCTTCCTTTACCCAGTGAAGGCACTGGCCTGTCACTTACCCAGCCTAGTTATGGGTTATGTTCTCTTTCAGGGTTGCACTGTGACAGAAGGCAGGGTTGTTGGTTTGTTGGTTTTTTTTTTTTCAATGGGAAGAGATAGCATTTAGAGATGACACAGAACTAGAAGGAACCTTAGGAATAATGTGTTCTTAACCCCGGGGTAGACCTTTAAAATTATAGGTGAAGTGTTGTTTGTCTGCATTTTCTAGGGGAGGGTTTTTCGTTTTCACAACATTCTCAAAGGGATACTTGCCTCCCAATACGTGAGGAGCCACTGATTTCAACCTCTTCATCTCATGTAAGGAACAACTGGAATTTAGGGCGGGCGATAGATTTGTCTGACATCACATGGTTAGAGTTGAGACTTGGATCCACGTCTCCTGACTCAACATGCAGTGTCTTTTTCTCATTATACCGTATCAGATCCTTCATCATTTGTGGACTGAAGTCTAAATGAGATGTGAATGGGCTTTGTAATACACAGATCAGTCCTGCATTTACTACCACAACGCCCTCTTCCCATTACCCCAAATTCTCTTCCAGCAGATTTTCAGGAGCCGCTATATCATTTCCCTCTCATAAAATTCAAGTGGTTTCTGGGAACCTTTCTCCCTCCAAGGGTTGAGTCTCGGTAAAACTCCAACTTAGAACGTGGCCACAAGTAAACTAACTCTTCTTTAACTAGTTATTCAGGATTTTTATGTCATCTTTTTCCTGGGAAAAGCTATTAGTAGATTTTTTTGTTTCTTAGGCCACTGCCAGAGAGCTAATGTTGGTCTGTCATATTACAGTTTAGACATGAGCTGTCCAATACCGTAGCCACTAGCCATATGTGGCTGTTTAAGTTATCGTTGCGTAAAACAAAATTAATTCTGTTCCTTAATCTCGCTAGCCATACTTCAGGTGCTCCATAGCCATAAGTAGCTACCATATTGGAGAGCACAGATACAGAACAGTTCCATCATTGCAGAAAGTTTATCGAACAGTGCTGGTTTACAGGGTTGCTGGGGGAGTTGGGGAGCAGTGTACTATAATGAAAGAAGGCTCAGAGAGTTGAATTTTTGAATAGAAAAATCTGTCTTTTAGGTTCCTATTTGGGTGTGGTGGCCTTGGGCAGGTCGTTAAGCATCTCAGCCACAGATTCTTCCTCTTTAATAATGAGACCTTTCTTTTGTGTGGCACTTGAATATTCTCAAATAGAGTTACGTCTGTCATATCCTTCAAGGATTTTCACTGTACGTCTGTGGTAAGGTGAGTGAGACATCTCTCTTCTCATACGTGCGAGAGTTGAACCTAAAGCAGCTAGAGGACCTGCCCAAAGTCACACAAGCTGGCAGTGTAAAGAAATCTTTTACATATAGGCACTTACTGCATGTTTGAATGAATGATTGAATGAATCAATGAAGCAGTTTGCCTAAGATGATGAGACCTATGAGGGAGGGTCCAGAACTTCTGACTCGTGCCCAAGTATTCCTTTCACCTGTTACCATAAGGAATTCTTGTAATGTGGGGCTCGTCTTTGAGTTGAAGAATTAACTGTGAGTATCCCATGAGTCAGTATAAATGAAAGGGCCGTGTAAGCTGTGATCCCAAATTTGCCCGCTCAGAGGAATCCCTGGGGCACTTGTTAAGCATACAGATTTCCATACCTTCTAGAGATTCTGATTCAGAAGGGCGGAAGTGGATCCCTGGAATCTGGATGTTTAATAAGTACCCCAGGTGCTGCTTAGGATCCTCTGAGTTTGAGCCTTGAGGCCCTGGCAGAGATAAGGGATCGTTGGATTGGCAGGCTCCTGTCCTCTTAAGGGTAGGTTCTTGAAACTTGTTTGTGTTTGACTTTCTTCTAGCCATGGATGCATCATATGATGGTACTGAGGTAACTGTCGTGATGGAGGAAATTGAGGAAGCCTACTGTTATGCCTCCCCTGGGCCACCCAAGAAGAAGAAAAAGTATAAAATACATGGAGAAAAGGCAAAGAAACCCAGGTTAGCCAACGTGTTTTGGTAGCTGGCATTTATGAACAGAAGCTGCTTGGAGAGCTGTGTTGAGGAATACTTTAGCCTGCGTCCAGATTCATTGAGAGTACCATGTCAGTTGTCTCTGGATGGGCGGTGGGGTTGTGGGGAGAGGGAGGTGGAGAGTGGCTGATTGATGCCAGCTGTGCAGAGGAGTAAAGCGTGTGAGTGATAACTAGCTTGTGTAATCAGTCCCCTAAGTAACCTTTCCCCTGAGAGTGGAATGACAGGGCATCTGTGTCTGTCTTTGCTCATAGTGGGCTTTAAAGCCAGTCATTCCTGCAGAAAGGTGGTCCGTGGAAAGGTAAACCAGACAGGCCTTCGCTTCCATGTGTCTGGATGGAGAAACCTCTGTGCACTGTCTGGGGGTGTTATTCAAATGCTCCTTCGCTTCACTCCCTATTTACATAAATGCTTTGAAATGAAAAGCTGGGTCTTGTATTTACCTCTTCACTACTCAGACGCTAACATTGTACTATTTACTGGTTGACTGAGGGGAAACTTCAAGAAGTCCTTGCTTCCTCAGGTCGGCTTACCTTCTATATTATTACGACATCTACCTGAAAGTGCAGCAGGAGCTCCCCCACCTCCCTCAGTCTGAGATCAATAAGAAGATTAGCGAGAGTTGGAGGCTTCTCAGCGTGGCCGAGAGGAGTTACTACCTGGAGAAGGCCAAACTAGAGAAAGAAGGTTTGGATCCTGTAAGTGATTTTTTTTTTTCCCAACTAATTTCTCCATTGGTTCCATGGTGAAAGCCTCCGGGAGACAACCCCCTGTTCTCCTGTGTCCTTTTCTTTTCTTGGGGAAACCTTGAGTTGAGGCCCTTTTGTCTTTTTTGAGTCTGATATTGTCTCTTTCCTTTTTGGTGGCGCCCTGCGCTCTTGTATCTTCTTTGGTTGCAGCAGCACAGGGAGCTGACATTTTCTGAGTATCCACAGTGAGCCTTAGGTTCCTTTTCTGAGTTTTGGCATAACTTGGAGCCCCTTATCCTTATGGATAGTCGTGTTTTCCTTTAATATAGTAGCTTTTGTAGGAATTTCTCTACGTTGAGTTTTCACGTTATCACTCGAATGTAGTGTAATGAATTTGTGTTGTGCCCACCCTATCAGGTAAACATAATTAGCAATTGGGCTTGCATGTTTAGAGGTAGATACAGCTGGTTTGTATAATGCCACATTCTCTTGTTACCACTGGCGGTTGTGAACTATGCTAGAAGCAAAAACTCAGGGTTAGAGCCAAAGATGTTAGAGGAGACAGAGGCTTTGAGTGCTTGGATTAAGGAATGAGGAAGCGTTTAGGTTTGTGTCTGTCAGCCGTTTTGGTATTTCTAGTTCACAGTAATGAAATGCACTGACAACAGTTAACACTGCTGGTTTTTGTTTTGTTTTGTTTTGTTTTAACTGAAATTCCTGCAGGAAAAATAACGTTGTTAATGCAAGTTGAAACCTTTTAACCTTAACTCATTTTTTTCAGTTGAAGCAGTTGTCTCTAACTTCTTTATTGATGATCTAGAGCGAAGGTTCTTTAGGTGTGCAACCACTATGTTATGGTAGAACAGGTTGTATTTTCCCTTAATGGGGCCCATCTGCCCCTGCCGTTTAGCTTATTCTGTCCTTCCTGGCTTGGCATGCCTCTTCCTGGAAGAGCTTTGTGTCACCTGCAGTCTAGAGGTGCCGCTCCCGCTCCCTCCTCTAGATGATTTGTTTATAAAGTGTGAGCCTGGGAAACTCCCTGTGGGGGAGGGAAGGTGGAGTCTAGGAAAAGTACACATACTCCCTTTGGTTTCCCCATTATTAAGTCAGCAGTCTTTTCGCCTATGATACAAGAAAATTTTACCTAATCCTGGAGTGATAAGGTTTTTAAAACTAGACGTTAATGTAAGTCTTTATTAAGACTTTTTACAGAAATTTAAGTCATCTGCAGTGGTTTTCCTTATCTGTATGCAAATTTGTATCTACTGTCGTCTCTACCACTACCACCAAGAAGATGAATAGATTAGCTCTGATGTTAACTAGCTGTGACCTCGGAAAGATCACATATCTCTGAGTCTTGGTTTCCTCATTTGTAAAATGGGGATGATAGTATCTACTCACAATGTTTACAATAGATAATGTAGAGCACTCAGCTGAGTTCCTGGCACACACTGATTTTGTCAGTAAATATCACTCTTCAGTGGATTAAATGTCCAGTGACCATATAAGAAAAGGTGGCACTTAATGAGCCTCTGGGCTGTACCATGACTGGGTGAGGCTTTATGTGCTGTGTTTGACTTCTCCCTGATTGCTGGCGTAAAGGGGAGACCCTCTTGCCTACACGCTTCAGGAGGCCGTCAGAGACCTCGTGGCATGCTGTCTCCTTGGCGGCCCTTCAGGTCTCCTGCCTAGTGGCGGGGCCCATGGTTCCAGTGTTGTTCTTTCCAGTCTGTAAGATGAATGTCATTCAGGCTGCCCTGGTTTCTCTGTGCTTGGATTTGTTAAATCCAGACCATCTTATTCATTTGCCGCCGTTTAGTCTTGTTCTCTTGACCTGTCTGCTTCAAAGGGTGACTTGAAAGTGTCATTTCTCCATTATTTCTCCAGTAAAGTCTCCATAAAGGATTCGATCTGTCTGCTTTCATGTTTCATCTGAGTGCTTCTTTTAACTTCCATCTCTGAGTGCTTCCTTTGTACCCTAAGTACTCCCATCGACTTCTTGCTTTTGATTTAAGAATCCTTCTGTAATTGACTTAGTGTTCCTTTTAAAAGATGCTTTTGAAATTATTTGTTTCATTTAATTTGAGTTCTCACTTAATTGTTCACTTCGACTTTTTTTAATTGGGTAACTTTCAGTTTAAATTGAAAAAATAAAACAAAAGCACCTTTTCCTTGGTGCCAATTAGCCATGCAGGATTGTGCTTCTAATGCCTGGTCTCCTTGCTCCTTAGAAGACCTGACCTTTGCTACTTTCTAATTTTGTGTTTTGGCAAAGCTTACCTCCCTGAGCTTCAATTCTTTCATTCGTCAAAGGGGAACAGTAATAGTACCTAACTTAATAGTGTTGTTTTTAAGGTCAGGAAAGATTTTTCTAAACCTTAAGATTCTAGGTCAGTGTTAATATTTGTATTCCCCCCCTCCCCCCCAAATTCAGCCCCGTGTCAGATAACCCCTTCTACATACACATTCTCTCATGAAGGCTTTTAGGCTTCATGATGTGTTCATCCTCTTTGTAAGTCTGGGAGAAACCAGTGATGCCAGAATCCTTGCTTGCTGCCTTGAGTTCCAACCTGACCTGTTGTATTTTATGCTTTTTGGGGTTTTATTGAGCATTGTACATTCTGGTGTTTAAATCTTCTGCTCCTTAGAAATCCTAAAGTATCAAAGCTGGGAAAGAACTCATAAATAGCCCCATTCAGCTCCCTCATTTTACAGATGGAGCAGCAAGCGCTAAAAAGGGGAAGGGATTTGTTCACGACTGTGCCAAACCTGGGATTCCAGCTCACAGTTTCAGATGTCAAGATGAGTGCCCCTTCCAGGGTCTAATCCACATTATCTGTCTCCTGGGTGACCAAGCAAGTAAGGTACACTGGCTAAAGTGTGATTCAAATGAAGGTGACATTGTTGTTGACAGAGGCTAACCCTATCTAAGTCATAGGTCAAGAGAGTGGAATCTTTCTGCTCCCTTTTGCAGAAAAAAAACCCCCAGAGCTCATAAATGTACATCCATGTGGTCTTACTCCATTTATCTCTGCTTGTCTCCCTTTTCCTGGCTTTCTCGTCCTCAGAACTCTAAGCTCTCTGCACTGACTGCTGTGGTTCCAGACATCCCAGGTTTCCGCAAAATCCTGCCCCGTTCAGATTACATCATCATCCCCAAGAGCAGCCTGCAGGAGGATCGCAGCTGCCCTCAGCTAGAGCTGTGTGTGGCCCAGAACCAGATGTCTCCTAAAGGACCATCTCTTATGTCCAGTACTGCGCCGGAGACAGTGTGTAGCCATGCAGGCATGGCAGAGCAGTGCCTGGCTGTGGAGGCCCTAGCTGAGGAGGTGGGAGCCCTTGCCCAGCCAGGTGCCGTACAGGAAATTGCCACCTCAGAGATCCTCAGCCAGGATGTGCTCCTGGAGGAGGCTTCCCTGGAGGTAGGGGAGAGCCATCAACCTTACCAGACAAGTCTGGTAATTGAAGAGACCTTAGTGAACGGCTCACCAGACCTCTCCACCGGAAGCCTGGCTGTGCCCCACCCCCAGGTTGGGGAGAGCATGTCAGTGGTAACAGTCATGAGGGTAAGTCGCTTTGGTACTGATGTCTTTTGCTTTATCTGGAATTAGTAAAAAGGCAGCTAGCATCACACAGTGTCATTCTGGAACAGTGGTAATTAAGAGTACTGTGGCACTTCTGGTAGGACTGCAGTCCTCTTGAACCTTTTTGCCCCTGGACTTGCTCCAAAGATCTCTCCAGTTTCTTAGGCACTCGTACCAACTCCTCTTGCTCCCGTAGCTGGGATTTTCTTCACGTGAGGTAGCACATAAGGTACATTAGTAGGAGGGATGGAAAAGATATTTGGGTTATTCATGAATCAAAGCCAAGATCTGTCAGACTATCAGTATGAGTCAGGGTTTTATGTTCCCTGAAGATTGTTTCAGCAAGCACAGTGGCACGTTGAACTGTCTAGGAGAATTTTCAAATAGTCTTTCTGGGCACAGAGTACATAGGAAGAAGGAAGTTCTCTTCAAGGCCAGGGTGATGGGACTCAATAGCTGAGAAAGAAGGGGGAAGTCTCTCTCCAGTGGCTCAAGTGTCATGCCAGTGGAGGGGAAAGAGCACCTTCAGTGATCACACAGCCTGGTCCCCTGGAAGTAGGGGAGCTGCCACCATGCCCTTTGTTACCCTGGGTAGGATGGCATCCTCACAGAGGTACGAGTTCTGCTCCGGCTGAGAGGACCAGCGTACTGCAGCCCCGGGGCCAGGACGGATGAGAGCAGGTCCCCCTGCAAGGGAATCCATGCCAGGCCTACATCCATTTTATAATTTGTTCCCTTAGTGAGATTTATGATAATGAAGCATGCCTCTGGCCTGGTTAAGGCAGATTGTTAAGGTGCTAAGAGCATTTGACAGGGTCAGAAGAGTTGTATTCTTTCCCTAACTGCTTGTGTGATCTCGGGAGTCCTAAGTGGAACCTCAGTTTTCTCATCTGTAAAATGACGATAGCACATTCCCTGTGCTAGTGGTTTTCTCTGTCTTTATTTCTTCGTAATTAAACTCTTTATTTTGAGATGTTATAGATTCATTTTTTTAAAGGACGTTGGATAAGCTTATCGTCTGTGTGTGTTGGACTTGATCAGTCTTCCAGTGTTGTGGGTGGCACTGGGGGTTCTTCACTCCATCTCAGTAAAACTGTCCTTCTCTCCATGTGCCCACAGGATTCCAGTGAGAGTAACTGCTCGGCACCAGCCACTCAGTTCATCATGTTGCCTCTTCCTGCCTACTCGGTTGTGGAGAACCCCACCTCCATCAAACTGGTCAGTGTTGGGGGTGTTAATGGAGACAGGGCTCCATAAGAATTCTCTTCCAGATAGTTTTCTAAAAGTTTTAACAGCCTTAGGACACCGGGACTGGCAGAGATCTCAGAGTTACCTGGTCCAGGTATTCTTAACTGGGCTGGGGGAGGTCGGTGAATGGAGCTCCATGGGATCCATGAACTCCTTGAGTTATGGACAGACTTCTCCTCCGGAGCGTTTTCCTGGGATAGGTTCCATGGCTTTTATCAAATTTTCAGAAACATACATGGTTTAGGAAAATTGAGGGCCATTGGTCTAGTTCAATCCTGTTAGTGTACAGTTTAGGAACAAGGCCCAGAGAAGAGAAAGGACTTTTTCTCTGTGTGATTCAAGGCTACTGAGCTGCAAAGGACCCTGGTCTTTTGATTTTCAGTTAATGATTTTTTCTATCACACACTGCAGCATCTGGGCTGAGATTTATCCCTAAATATTTCTTGTTTCTTTATGGTATTGTAAATAATATTTTAAAACGTTTTTGAATATCTGATTGTGCAATACTAATATAGAATAATACAATTGATTTTTTGTGTCTTAAAGTTGTATCCTGCAACTTTGCTGAACTCGGGTATTCCAGTAGCCTTTTTGTAGATTCTGTTGCATTTTCTACATAGGTGATCATATTTGTGAATAAAGACCGTTTTGTTTCTTCCTTTCTAATCTGGACTCTTTCTTTTTTTGAAAAATATTTCTTTTTTTTTTTTTTTGGTGAGGAAGATTGGCCCAGAGCTAACATCTCTTGCCAGTCTTCCTCTTTTTCCTTGGGGAAGATGGTCCTTAAGCTAACTTCTGTGCCAGTCTTCCTCTACTTTGTATATGGGATACTGCCACAGCACGGCTTGATGAGCAGTGTGTAGGTCCACACCCAGGATCTGAACCTGCAAACCCAGGCCGCCAAAGCAGAAAGTGTGAACTTAACCACTACACCATGGGCCAGCCCCTCCTTCTTTCTTTTTCTTATCTTATTACATAGTCTAGGACCTCCAGTACAATATTGAATAGAAATGGTGAGAGCAGATATCTTTGCCTTGTTCTTCATCTTAGGGAGAAAGCATTCAGTCTTTTACTGTTAAGTATAATATTAGCTGTAGGTTCTTCATAGACACCCTTATCAAGTTTAGGAAGTTCTCTTATATTCCTAATTTGCTGGGAGTATTTATCAGGAATGGATGTTGGATTTTGCCAGATGCTTTTTCTGTGTCTCTTGAGATGATTGTATGATTTTCTTTTTTAGTTTGTTAATATGGTTAATGTTTTTTTCAAATGTTAAACCTGCATTCCCAGGGTAAACCTCACTTGGCAATGATGTATTATCCTTCTAATATATTGTTGGATTTGATTTGCTAAGATTTTTGATTTGCTAAAATAGAATTTTTCTGTCTGTGTTCATGAGGGGTGTTGGTCTCTAACTTTCTTTTGTACGGTGTGTGTGGTCTGGTTTGGGTGTCAAGGTGGTGCTTACTTCGCAGAGTGGGTTAGGACATCCTTTCTCCTCGTGAGTTTTCTGGAAGCGTTTGTGCAGTGGTGGCATTGTTTCTTCCTTAAGTGTTTGGTAGAGTTGCCAGTGAAGTCACCTGGGCCTGGAGATTTCTTTGTGGGAAAGTTTTTAATTGCAAGTCCAATTTTTAAAATATACATAGGACTAGATATATATCAGATTATCTATTTTGAGTGAGGTTTGGCAGTTTGTCTTTCAGGGAATTTGTCCATCTTGTCTAAATTCTCGAATTTATTGACATAAAGTTGTTCAAAACATTTCCTTATTCTTTAAAAAATTGTGCTAAAATATACATAACATAAAATTTACTGTATTAACCATTTTTTAAGTGCACAATTCAGTGCCATGAAGTATATTCACAATGTTGTGCAGCCATGACCAGTATCCCTTTCCAGAACTTTTTTGTCATCCCAAACAGAAACTCTGTACCCATTGAACAGGAGCTGCCCGTTGCTTCCTTCCCCTAGTCCCTGGTAGCCTCTCTTTCGCTTTCTGTCTGTGGCTTTGCATATTCTAGGTGCCTCATATGAGTGGAATCATGCAGATGTTGTCCTTGTGGTCTTTTTCACTTAGCATAATGCTTTCAAGTTTCATCTGTCTTGTAGCATGTATCAAAATTTAATTCCTTTTTATGGTTGAATAATATTCCATTGCGTGTATATACTACATTTGCTTTATCCATTTGTAAGGATTGATGGACTTGTTTGTTTTCACATTTTAGCTACTGTGAATATTGAACTTGGTGTACAAGTGTCTATTTGAGTCCCTGCTGTCAGTTCTTTGGGTGTATACCTAAGAGTGGAATTGCTAGATCATGTGGTAATTCTGTGTTTACAGTTTTGAAGAAACCCTTATCCTTTTAATATCTATAGAATCCATAGTGATTTTACTTCTCTCATCACTGATACTGGTAATTTGGGTCTTCTTTCTTTTTTTCCTGATAAGCCTGGCTAGAGGTTTTTAATTTTTTTGGTTTTTTTCAAAGAGTCAGATTTGGTTTCATTGGTTTTATTTTGTTTTTCTGTGCACTTGAAAAGAATGTGTGTTCTGCTGTTGGGTGGAGTGTTCTACATGGTTCAGATTAGGTCAAGTTGATTGACAGTGTTCAACTCTTTTATATCCTTACTGATTTTCTGTCTACTTGTTCTATCAGTTATTGAGAAAAGGCATCCACCTATCATTGTAGAGTTATGTTTCTTTTTGCAGTTCTATTAGTTTTTTGTGTTGTGTATTTTGACTCTGTTATCAAGTACATCAAATCAACGTTTAGGATTATTATCTTCTAAAACTCCGTCTATGGATAGACCATATATCCTTAGATAAGAAAGTTATATTTTAAACAAGAACAGCCACTGCAACCTGATTCTTGGAGAAACTCCTGATTTCTTCTGAGCCCTTGCTCTCTTGGAAATTACTATTCTTTCATGGTCTAATAAGTGTCAGCCAAGCTCTTCTGGAAATTGTTTTATGAATAATACTTAAGAACAAGGGCCACCCCAGTGGCGTACCGGTTAAGTTTGTGTGCTCTGCTTCGGCGGCCTGGGGTTCACAGGTTTGGATCCTGGGCAGGGACCTAGCACCACTTGTCAAGCCATGCTGTGGCAGCATCCCACATAAAATAGAGGACAATTGGCACAGATGTTAGCTCAGGGCCAATCTTCCTCACAAAAAAAGAAAGAGAGAGAATGAAACATCAGCCTTGAACACTAGCATTTTTTTCTAAAGTTACTTCTGTAAGCTGCTGTTTAGGAGTATTTCCAAGTTCATGGTAGTTTACTTATAGAACTAGCCTAACTTAAATTTTTACTCTGCGTTCTGGGAGTGTTCAGAATGAATGTTCTATATGAGGCCACAGTCTGAGAAAAGATAAGAGATGCTTTATATCCCAGTAATAGTAGTCTGTCACAAACCTGTAAAATCTTTTACAGTTTACTTAGCGACATGTTTCCTCATTTGCTCCTCAAGATATATCCGTGAAATAGGAAAGGCAGGTGATTTTACAGAGGAGGACTCCCAGGGCCCAAGAGCTAAGGTGACTTACCCCCTCATTCAGTGTGTCAGTGACATAGTTGGAACCCAAAGCCAGGCCTCTTTCCCTGGTATCACACCACTTCACATGCATCCTTGACCTGCTACCGCTATCATAATCACCTTTTCCTTGGGCCTTGTGGCAGAAGCAGCCTAGTGGCAGCTTGGTGTTTCCCCAAGGGAGGTTTGTGCTTTTTGGTCAGGCCTGGGAAGCTGGGATTATTAGCTGAGTAAACCTTCATAAGTGACAGAACAGATCTGACAGGGAAATGTTTTCTTTCCAGCATTAATCAAGAAATGGAGCATGGCTAATTTCTATTTGTAGCTGAAATGTCACAACCCATTGTAATACATTGTGTTCAAAGGGAAATCATCAGAGATGGTGAGAGCTGGTGGCTGAATATATTCATGTGTAAATAAGTAAATTCTGTTGCGTGCCAAAGGACTTGGTTTCTATTGGCATGCCCTCTCATTTTTTTAGTGAACATAGTCTATTTTTATCTCTCTGAACCCTAGGTTTTAGGTTCTCTGATTTTTAATAGGAATTAAGATGAAGCAAATTCTTTCAAGTATTCAGAGCCATAGGGTGCAGCTGGATACATGGAAGGACCCTTGGACCAAGAATCAAACAGATCTGGGTTGTAGGTCTAGCTCTGCCCTTAAGTCACTGTATGATTTGAGGCAAAGCATTTAACCACTCTGAACCTCAGTAATAGTAATACCTACTTCGTAGCATTGCTGAGAGCATTAAATGAGATATTGGTAAAGCGTTTAGCACTGTGTGGTACTCTGCTTAATTAATAGCCACTGTTACTATCTTTATTCTTCTAATACCCCACTCTGTAACCTCGGGCAGCTATCCTTCCTCATTTGAACTCTGTTTCTCCATTTCTAAAAAGTGAACTAGTTATATCTTAGGATCTTTTCAACTCTGACCTTTTAAGATACCATGAATTGGCTATCCTTCTGCAAGCTTGTATCCTCCTGGCATTGTTGTGGTTATAATGGTCATCAGGATCTGAGAGAACTTAGACTGTGGTGTTGATTCTGACTCACTGTTTTCCTTACAGACCACTACGTACACCCGCCGGGGCCATGGGACATGCACCAGCCCAGGTTGCTCCTTTACTTATGTCACCAGGCACAAGCCACCTAAGTGCCCTACCTGTGGTAGCTTCCTAGGAGGGAAGTGGATCCCAAAGGTAAGGTCCATTGGCCTTCACTGCTGTGGAAGCCCTGCAAAGTAGGCTCTTCCTGCTCCCCTTAAGGACAAGTGACTTAGAAAATTAATACTCATTTTTATTTTCTGACTGTACAGGTAAGTCAGTTACATTGTAGACCATTTAAAAAAGAAAGAATAAAATGTTATCCATAATCTTACGTAATCGTTTTACAAAGAAAAGCCATTATTAGTAATTTTGGTGTATTTTCTTCCAGTCTTTCTCCTGTGAGTGTGTAAGTTCTGTATCTTGCCTTTTTTCATTAACATATCATGCTATTAAATGTTCTTCAAAAACGTTACCTTTAATTGCTTCCTAATTTCCCATAAATGACTACACCAGGTTGATTTATTCATTTCCTATTAGGGTTAAATTTTTAACAGTCCACCTGCTTATTCAGATGACATAGCTCCTGTCTTCTTACTCATTAGCTCCATGTCCTTTCAGTCTCTTATAGCTCTTATTGAAAGTTTAGGTCCTTAACCCAATATTTAAGGTCTTCCATAGTATAACTTTCCAAATGTATACTTCTTTCTCTCTCTGTAAATAAATGATGCTCAATAAATAAGTGCATGTCAGAGCTATGCCCCTGTGAAGTTCATTTCAACACATGTGTTTTGATACCTGTTTTATGTTTGACACTCAAGATATGAATAACAACATACTTGGCACATTTTTGATAATGACTATAAATTATTTAGGGCCAAAACGACTAGAATCGTCAGGGATGATTTTATACAGGAGAGAATCTTAAAGGATCAATAGAATTTGGGTAGGTAGAAAAGAAAAGAGAGGGCATGGTTTTTGTAAGAATAGCTTAGGCTAGGATTCTGTTTGTCATGTGGTTAACTAAGCCTGGTCCAAATTGATTCACGTAGAGAAAACTTAGATAGCGCTATACCTGGTAAGTTCCACTCGGGCCGTTTCCACAGAACATCTCTTTGATAAATACCAGGTTGGTGACTTTTGCCCTCTGGCTGAATGTTGGGGTTCAGGGTAGTACCAATTCTGGGAGACAGAGTAGGTTAATAATTAAGCAATTCTTCAGTCAGCTTCCTCAGTTCAAAGCCCTGCGGCCCCAGTTTTTAGCTGTGTATCCTTGGGCAAGTTATTTCATGTCTCTCTTCTTGATTTAGGTTTCTTTTCATTTGTAGGTGGGAAGTTAACAATAGTGCCTACCTTATTAGGGTTGTTGGGGTCACATGAGATGATCCTTGTAAAGTGGATGGCGCATTCCTAGTATGTGTTAGATCCTCAGTAAGTGTTCACTGCTATCATTATTGGCAGCATTCTGATTGTTGTCTCTGTTGTTACTCTTCATGTTCTCACTTCAAGGGGCAGGAAGGACCTAGTGTTAGTGCCTCTCGGGAGGTTTTATCAAATTTCTTGTGCCCGTCTTCTCTGGTGTGGCGCTGTGAAGTCATTCAGTTTATTCTCACCCTAATTATTGTCCCCAAAGTGTACTTCTTCAGCTGCAGTAGGGAGATTGAATTGGATAGTGGTCAGAATCCTCCTTGGCGCCTCTTCACTGACAGCAGGTCTGTCAAATGACCTTATTTCCTGTGCTTTTGCATAGAAGACTCTGACTGATCCTGTGGCCTTGTCGTCTTCAGATTCTGTTTTTACTTTGGCTTTCTTTTCTTTTTCATTTTCTGTCTTTTTCCCCCCTTTGATTGAAATAACTTTTGAGCCATGGTTCTCTTCTGAGATCAAACTCACAACATGAAAACAGTTTTTTTCTTAGCTAGTTGTCCCCCATCTTGACTTGCTGTTTCAGAATTTTTTCTTCCCCAAAAGTTTTTGTAAGAATTACCAGGTACCTGGTGGTGCATCAGTTAAATTCACACATTCCACTTCGGTGGCTGGTGATTCGCCAGTTTGGATTACAGGTGTGGACCTATACACTGCTAATCAAGCCATGCTATAGCAGGCGTCTCACATAAAATAGAGGAAGATGGGCACAGACGTTAGCTCAAGGCCATTCTTCCTCAGCAAGAGGAGGGTTGGCAGTGGATGTTAGCTCAGGGTTAATCTTCCTCAAAAAAAAAAAAAAGAATTACCAGGTTTCAGATTCCAAGATATCTTAATCTCATAGGAACAGAATAAGTAAGTGTGAGAAGAAAAAGGGTAACGTTTTAGCATCAATGCACTAAGAATTTGAGTTAAAGGTGGCTTTGGTTATCAGCTAGTTGAACTCCCAAGTTTCCAGCTGAGGAAAAACAGATTCAGGAGAAATGACTTGTTATGTTCATATAGCTAATTATGGCAGCACCCCTTCCAGTAAACCACACTTCGCAGGCATTGCTATGTTGGTTAGCTGCAGAATCTTAAGATTTCTTGGGTTCTGATTTTTGAAGCAGCAAGTATAAATAGTTTCTAAAAGCTCCAAATGTGTCCGTGTCGGTTAGGAAATGACTCACCTTTTCTTGTATTGTTCTAGAGTTCATACTGGCTAAAATTAGCCCAGGAAATGTGTGGCACAATTCCCAATGAGTTGGATGGAACAAAAGATGGTATATAAGGCTCTTTAGCTCAAATCCTTACTCCTATGGGCTCTCTGATAGTGGTAATTGAGGTCTCTGAGTGGGCAGCTGGTAATATTTGCCTTCCATCTTGAAAGAAAGTGACATCCAAGAAGAATAGACTGAGTGAAGGAAATGTGAGATCATCAGCTAGAATTTTTTCCTCTGATTGCTTAAATTATCCAATCTTCGTGCAAAGGATTTTTGTCTAAAATAGCCTACTTAGTGGGCAGTGTTTCACTTAAAGATCTCAGGGGTTTAGTTTGAATTGTCTCCTGTTTTTTTGCTCACTTCTCCCTGTCCAGCAGTCGGTAAGCACTGTGCAGTTTACTTGAAATCTTTTTCTCTATTCTTCCTCATGGGCTATTACTGTGTGTTAGAATCTGAGAATGCTTTACTGGAGGTTTCTTCAGGTTGCCTGTACTGGTCCTTAACCAGAGGCAGTGTGCTGCCCTGGGGGCTTTGGAAGTGGAAGGGGTTTTTTGTAGCCTGTGACTGGGAGATAATACTGAAATTTAGTGACAGTGGCCACAGATGCTACACTTCCTGCTCTGTGAAGAACTGGGCCACCCAAAAGACTGTCTTGCTGTTGTTTACAAACAGTGAGAGCCCAACTTTCTTTTATTTCGTAATGGGGAAATGAGGGTTCAGATGAAGCTTGCCTTAGGTGGCATGAGTAATTAGGTGTGAAACAGAGCCTAGATGGAACCCAGCTTTTGTCTTTTATGTCTCCTAGTTTATAGTGCCTTTCACTATTCACACGGAAGAAAAAACCCTTCTGAGACCTATCCTGGAGACAACCACTGTTTTAAAAGAGTTTCGTGTGTGCCCGTATATAAATATATTTATGTGTGTGTATATACGTATATATAAATAATACTGTATTTCCATAGCAGTGCTGATTGGATAAAAGCTAAGGCAACCAGGAATTTAAGTAGGTCTATCTGAGATAGCAGCTGGTATTTTTACTGAGTTTGAATATTTTCTAGCCTGTAATTAATGTGTGAATTAATTTGACCCAGTGAGAAGTTTGTGGCATCTGTATAAGTCAGCCTTAAGATTCACCTGGAAGAATCTGGGACAAAAGATAGCATTTTTCTCACTGGAGTTGGAAACTTTGAGTCTATCCATGTGAGGTTGTGCCCACATTGGGATTAACTGAATCTCATAAAGGAAGCACCAGGATAAACAGTGTAAGACTTCTAGGACCAATATGGCAATGTGTCATCCTCTTTCTAGACATAGGGAAGTAGGCTTTAAATTGCCAACGTTTGTTCCCTGAAACCTAAAGAGGCATGTCAATAAGAAATGTGTTAGGAGGAGAACAGCTTTATCCTAACTCAGGCGTTGAATTCTACAGTGAGAGGGACCTGAAGCCAGAAGACTTAGATTCAGGTCAGTTTTATACTTGGGATCTTAAGTTAGCATCCTCCTCTCTCTGGGCCTCAGTTTCCTTATCTGTTGCCCATACATCATTGTTCTAAAGGTCAGATGAGAATATTTGTGAATGTCTTGTCAGCTGTTAAATGCCATATGCATATAAGGTATTCTTATTTTTTTCTAGGAAAAGCCAGCAAAAGCCAAAGTGGACTTGGCTTCTGGTGTCTCCTCCAAGGGCTCTGTGGTTAAGAGAAATCAGCAGCCTGTCACCACTGAGCAAAATCCCCCTAAGGAAAACGCCTCCAAGCTGACTCTGGAGAACTCGGAAGCTGTAAGCCAGCTCCTAAATGTGGCTCCTCCAAGAGAAGTGGGTGAGGAGAGTGAGTGGGAGGAAGTGATCATCTCAGATACCCATGTTTTGGTCAAGGAAGCTCCTGGGAATCGTGGTATAGCGGCCACTAAGACGCCGGTGGTCAAGAGTGGTGTGCAGCCTGAGGTCTCTCTGGGGACAACTGAGAATGACAGTCCTGGACCAGACATACCATCGCCAGCTGAGAGGAGCAGCACCTCCAGTCCACTCCCTGCTCCTAAAAAACCTACAGGGTAAACCAAACCGCTGTGTTTATGTATGATAGAACTGTGTTTGGAATGGCAGCTTGGGAAATGCCGTGTTTGCTTTGTCCTCCGTCCCTCACAGCGTTCCTGAGAGAGGCAGCAGAGCCCACTTAGTGGATTCTGTTTTAGAGGTATGGAAACCAAGGCCTAGAGACCAGAATGGTTTCCCTCGCCTCCTGCCCTCTGCTGTCCATGTACTGCTGTCGGGTTCCTTGAACTTCTTGTCATTCTCTCTAAAGCAGTTATTAGGGTCTTGCTGGTACAGGCTGTGGGCGGTATCGCGAACTAGTATCCAGTCCTGCATACTCTATATAGAAAGAGAAGCCTTATTAAGGCGCCTCATAGAAAGGTCCCTGTTCTGGTGATCAGAGAATTCAATTTTGGTTGTGACTCTGTCTCTGACTTCTGTTTGACCTTGGGCATAGTCATTTCATGCCTGTTCTCTCCTCTGAAAAATCTTGAGTTGGGTATTAAAAAAAAAATCTCATCCTCAATGGCAGACTGTACAGACCGAAAAAGATCGTGTGTAAAGCATGCAGCCCAGCACCTTGCGGATAGGAGGAGGACTGTAAGTGTGGGCTGTGTTTCCTCCCCTTTTCCTCCTTAAAGGCTTAACCAGCTTCTCCATGTACCCCTTCCCAGAAGCGGTTGTAGTCTTGCAACTAAAGGCTCTTATTTGTTTATATCATTGGTTCTTAATGGGGAACACTTTTGTCCCCAGGGGATATTGTGGCAATGTATGAACACGTTTTTGGTTGTTACAACTGGGTGGGGGCGGGATGCTAGTGGCACCTAGTGGGTAGAGGCCAGGAATGCTGCTAAACATCCTACAGTGCACAGGACCGCCCGCCACAACAAAGAATTATCTGGCCCAAAATGTTAATAGTGTCAAGGTTTAGAAATCTGGTTTATATTATCATGACTTTAACAATTTTATTGTTGCATAGGAAATATATTCATATGGTTCAACCTCAAGGTACGAGGAATATACACTGGAAAGCATCTCCCTTCTATCTGATCCTTCAGTCATCCATTTCTGTTTCTCACAGACCATCAATGTTCCCAGTGTTCTGTGTTTTAGAGATAATTTTAAGCATATAAACAAATAGGTGTGTGTATATATATATGTATGTGTATGTGTGTATATATTTTTCCCCACTTTTTTTTTCACAAATTGTAGCATAACATGCATATTTCTACATCCTACCTTTTTGTTTAACAACATGCCTTGAGGCGGTTCTGTATCTTCAGAGAGTGCAGCTGTGCACTTCAGACCTTTTGTTTTGGGCAAGTGGATCACTTCAGCAAGTGGGTGTGGAGGCCTCCTGTGCTGCAGGCTTTGTGCTAGCCATCGAGATGAAGAAAACATGGACTTTGTTCCCCAGGGTCTCTAAGCCGCCCTCATGTAGGAGACTGATAGGCTTTAAGTACTTGGTCTAATTAGAGGCAGATTAGATATTATATTATAACTACATTAGCTGCTGGTGTTCCACACTGTAGGTGCTGTTTTGTACTTTTTTATCCTCATAATGACCCCAAGAAGTTTATGTAATTGCTGTTCCACTTTGCATGTTAGGAACTTGAGGTTAGCAGAAGAATGAAATGGCTTGCCCGGGGCCACACAGCTACTTACTGCTTTCATTTGAACCCAATCTAAAGCCTGACAGTTTAACCACTACACACTCTCTCTAATAAAGTGCTCTTTGGAGATTTCACGTTGGCTTTCTTCTCCTTGGTCCGAGATTTCTAGGAGATTTCCCTTCTTTTTTTTCCCCCAGAGTCGACGTACTTACACCTGGGCCCAGAGCCCCAGAACTTAAAGGCAGAGCTCGGGGGAAGCCCTCATTACTGGCTGCAGCAAGACCCATGAGAGCAATTCTCCCGGCCCCAGCTAACGTGGGCCGAGGCAGCAGCATGGGCCTGCCCAGGGCCAGGCAGGCCTTTCCCCTGAGCGGTAAGGGCTGGGATGGACCTGGGAGGAAGGGCTGTCTAATGGAAAAGGGGTGGAAACGGGGTGGCACGGGGGGACATTGAGAGTGGAGATGAGAGGCTTAGAGAGGCTCTGAATGCACTTAAGTCACCAGTTTGGCTCCTGGTTGTCTCAGATAAGACTCCCTCTGTGAGGACTTGTGGCCTGAAGCCAAGCACGCTGAAGCAGCTGGGCCAGCCCATCCACCAGCCATCTAACACTGGCGAGGTGAAGGTAAGACCCATTCCTCAGGGGGAGCTGTGTGGGGACCTGCTCTGAGAACAGGGCTTCCATTTGGTGTCTCAAAGCCGTCCACAAAAAGGCTGTTCTTATGCTGGTAGACGTCTGGGAGGAGGTTTAGTGTGAATGAGTTATCTTCTTTTTAATTAATTTCTTTTTCTTGTTATAAAATGAATGCTTGTTTTTAAACTTACTTAGAAGTAATTTAAAACTTAGGAAAAGGGGCTGGCCCTGTGGCCCAGTGGTTAAATTCGCACGCTCCGCTTCAGTGGCCCAGGGTTTCACTGGTTCGGATCCTGGGCGCGGACATGGCACTGCTCATCAGGCCATGCTGAGGTGGCGTCCCACATGCCGCAACTAGAAGGACTCACAACTCAAAAATATACAAGTATATACTGGGGGGGTTTGGGGAGAAAAAGCAGGAAAAAAGTTAAAGATAAAAATGTAGGAAAAAAGATGCAAGAGTAAAAATAGTACAAAGAGCCCCCTTGCACTCTTTACCCATAGACACCTATTGTTAACATATTAGCCTATTTTGCTTTATCATTTATGCTAATGTGTGTCTTCCCCATTATGTATGTGTGTGTATGTATAAAATATACGTAGTTCACTGTGTTTCCTAAGAATAAGAACATTGTTTCTGAAATATTGATATAATACTTTATCATTCATATTCCAGTTTTTTGTTTTACTGAATTCTGTCCTTTTGCACTCCAGTACAGTGTCCAGTCTAGGATTAGATATTGCATTTAGTTGTCATGTCTCTTCAGCTTCCTTTAAAAAAAATGAATGCATGATTGTTATAGAAAATATAGAAAATTCAAGTAAGGCAGAAAATAAGTCCCTTATGATCCTGCTACCCAGAATAACTATTATTGACAGTCTCGTGTGTGTGTGTTCAGCCTTCAAGTCCTTTCCTACATTTGTGTGTTTATTTTTTAATATAATTTTTAAACCAAAAAACATGGCTCTTGGGGCAGGCCCGGTGGCGCAGCGGTTAAGTTCGCACGTTCCGCTTCTCGGCGGCCCGGGGTTCGCTGGTTCGGATCCCGGGTGCGGACATGGCACTGCTTGGCAGCCATGCTGTGGTAGGCGTCCCACGTATAAACTAGAGGAATATGGGCACGGATGTTAGCTCAGAGCCAGGCTTCCTCAGCAAAAAGAGGAGGACTGGCAGTAGTTAGCTGAGGGCTAATCTTCCTCCAAAACAAAAACAAAACAAAACAAAAAAACAAACAAACAAAAAAAAACATGGCTCTTACTCTGTGTACTGGTTTGTAGCCAGTACAGTTCATTCAATTTAATGATCTAGCTGTTAAAGATTTCCCAGTTATTGAAATTCCATGTATTCAAGCACATTTATTTTATTCTTAGATTTTCTTTTTTTGTTTTTTGTTTTGCCATACATTACTAGAATAGTTATGATCAAAATTCCCTCTATCAGCATTTTTCACTAGACCGCTTTTTTTGGGCCATGTCCCTCAATAACAAACACATTTTCACATCACAGCCCAGGAAATGTATACATACATTTACACAGTAGAAGTTTAACAAAGCTATGCCCTTATTATATGCAGTCTTTTTCCCCTTTCTTGCAAAATGTTGGTTTCAGTCCTTTAATTTCACGACACCTCAGTGGATTGTAGCCTCTAATTTGAAAACCCTGTCATGGACTAAATTGGAATAGGAGAATTGGTCTGCCATCTCCCTTGCCATGTGTGCTGTATGGCAGGTAACTTCTTTGATAGTTCTAAATTTGCTCCAACAAGAATATCAGCCAGCTTTTACTTTGAAGCTGGTTTGTCACCCAGAGGTGGTATCAGCACTGGGTACAGGTGTGATCCTGGGGTATGGAAGGATGGTCATCTAGTCTGCTTCAGCCACTTCCTAGATTTCCAGCTCTTCGAGTCTCTTCACTCGTGTAAATTCCCGGTCTTTTCTATAAACAGTTGCCTTTTGATTGGCAACGTTGGGTATTTGTTAAAAGCCATATGCCCTTTTGCTAGTCTTAAACCAGTGAAGTTACATGAAATATTTTATTCTGAAAATCAACTGAAATTCAGTGTTACAGAATAATTACTTTTTTTTTTAAGATTTTTTTTTTTTTCCTTTTTTTCCCCAAAGCCCCCCCGATACGTAGTTGTATATTCTTGGTTGTGGGTCCTTCTAGTTGTGGCATGTGGGACGCCGCCTCAGCGTGGTTTGATGAGCAGTGCCATGTCTGCGCCCAGGATTTGAACCAGTGAAACACTGGGCCGCCTGCAGCGGAGCGCGTGAACTTAACCACTCGGCCACCGGGCCAGCCCCCCAGAATAATTACTTTTAATTTAGAATGGTTTCTTCATCTTTTCTTTCTTTTTAAATTATATAAGCAGTATCTACATTTCATGTAGAACATTTGAAAATTTTATGGATAGTGGTAAAAGGAGAAGCAATCATGACCTTCCTCTCATCCTGTGATATTTTGGTGAATCATTTTTTCAGACTTCTTTCTTTGCCGACAATATCCACCACGTATTTTTGTGTATAGCTATTATGTACTTTTCTCACTTGATAGTAGTTGTAATTCTGATTCATAGTGTTTCTAACATGCAGTGTTAGAAGCTGCACAGGAGAGTGAGGCGGCCCTGAACTTGAAAGGACACTTCCCCTCTGGTGGGCTGGTGACTGTTGACTAGCATCCCAGATGGCTCGTTTGGAGCATAGCTCTACAAATTCCCTGGGAAACTTTCATCAAGCTGTTTCAGGACACAAGATGTCAAGAGTTTGAGGTTCAAAAGCACTAAAGAATTTGTTGTGATCCACAGCTACCAAATGGCCCAGCCAGCAGGACGTCTCAGGTGAAAGTTGTAGAGATCAAGCCCGACATGTTTCCTCCATACAAGTACAGCTGTACAGTCACACTGGTGAGTGCAGCTGGGTGGTGGGTGGCCGCCGAGGCAGTTTGGCTTTGTGATTGAGGGCGAGTAGAGTCTGAGGTGGGTGGGCAGTGGTAGTTGGGAGTGAGAGTAGGGTCAGGGATAGATCATTGGTTCTGAAGATCCCGTCACCCAGCTACTGGGTGAATCATTAGGTTTGTTGTTTTTCCCAGGTGAGATCTAGAAAGTGTAGGCCACCCGAGACCAGGATATTTCTGTTGAGAGTAGTTGGAGATGAGAATCCAGTCCAGCTTTAGCGTTCAACAATTTTTGGAGCTTCTAGCCTCAAAAGTGTGTTCCACAGACAAGTTTGGGAAATGTTGTATTTTTCCTCATTAAAACAGAGTCATCTTCATTACCAGTGTCCAATTAAAGGGTTTGAGAAGTGCTTTAGTAAAGCAGCTTATTTTGTTTAGCCTGGCATTGCCCGTAAGTTTTTCCCTTCTCCCTCCCTTCATTTTTAATACAACCTGTGTTAACCTCCCAATAAACAAATGTGTGCCTGGGTCATCCTTTTGCAGTGAAAGCAACATGGAGCAGTGGAATAGACACTAGAGGTTGGAAGGTCTAGTCTGGAGGTGATTCTGGCCCTGCTGCTAGCGTGCCGGATGACCTTGGGCAGGGCCCTTTGCTTCTCTGGTCTTCAGTTTCCACCATCTTTAAAATGCTGTGTTGGTTTAGATATCATGTTGGAGCTTTTCTCGTTCTGAACATTCTCTAATTTTATTGATCTTTAAGGTATTGACCAGCCAGATATCTTTTGGTGGCTTCTCTGGCTGAGTTGAGTAAGATGCACAGGTTTTGAGAAGGCAGCTAAATTTTAAAAAATTCTTACCTGATAAAGGCAGACAAATGCAGAAAGAGTCATTTGTTCCAAAAAATATTTATTGAGCACCTGTCCTGTTCTCTGTCAGGCCCTGTGCTGGGGATTCAGTAGTGAACCAAGACAGCACAGTATGGTGGGTTGGTACCTAATCTGGCCTGATCCTTAAGGAGAATGTGTCTCTTATCCTGGAGATCTGCCCAGGTTTCTTTTTTCCAAAGACCTAATTACTACCTTCTCCATGTCATTCATACCCTGACCGCCCCCTTCCTTTGGCTGCAGGAGGCCATTAAGATTGCCATCTACTGGGAATTGCCCTGGACCCTCTCTGGCTGATTAGACAGCAACTTGTCATGGGATCCTGGATACCAGAGCTTTGAGCTTAAATAGTCCAGAAGTCACAATTTGTCTTCAGGCAGGGCTTGAAATCTTTAGTTCACCAACGTCTATAGCATTCTTTGTTAGAATAGGCCTGCTTCACTCTGTCAATTGCCTGGACCCTGAAGGCATTTGAATTTCTGACCCTTGACAGTCAACTCACTTGTTTCACCGATTGGGGGGGACTTGCCAGAATTATTACGCAGGCTGTGTTAAGATTGAAAGGGGGTAACTACAGAAAAGGGATCTTGCTTCAAGGGCCTTTGGAAGTTAGTATAAATCTGGTTTTGCAATTGCCACTCTCTTCTCTGATTTACCTACAGCTGGTCATTCTGGTTCTTGGTTCTACCCAGATGTAACTTAACTTTTGTAGAATTGAATCTTGGTCTTACTTTTTTAGGATTTGGGCCTGGCTACATCAAGAGGCCGGGGAAAGTGCAAGAATCCCTCTTGTAGCTATGTCTACACCAACCGACATAAACCGCGGATTTGTCCCAGCTGTGGTTTTAACCTTGCCAAAGACCGGACTGAGAAAACCACCAAGGCTCTCGTGAGTTCCTTCCCCAAATACATCCCCTGGCCTTGGGTTGGACTCTCTGAGAGGACCTGTTTTAGTAGAAATAAAAGAATTTCTTCATGCACAATAGTAGTTAGAGCATCAGAACTAGAACCAGGTTATAGGTTCTGAACCTGGGCAAGTGCCTTTCTCTCTCTGGGCCTCCTTGTCCTCATTGCTAAGGTGAGGGGGTTGACCAGAGATACCTTATCTCTGAGAACCTTCTGGCCCAGTGGACTAAGTGTTCATTCATCAAAGAAAATGGCAACACAGGCCTTAAACAGGATTTGGAAGAAGAGAGGGAAGGAAGGGTGATATCCTTTTAGCTCTGAGGCCTGGCAGAGTACTTGTAAGTAGTATTCTGCTAAATAGAGAATGCCAGCCCTAAGACTTTGTGGATGAAATTGCTGCCTGTCAGGTTCCTTGCAAAGCTTTACTTCTAGCAGTCTTGGCAAACCTGCTCTCTGATGATGGACCAAACTATTTGGATAGTAAAACATACTCCATTTGGCTCCTTAGAGCTCTTTTTTTATTGTTAGAACCAGGAAAAATGGGCATTTTCAGAGGTCCTCTGAATTTCCAATGTGAGTTTTTTAAAGCGATCAGAAAGTAACAGCATCTGAGGCAGCACATGGAATGACTAGGATGAGGATACTTAGAGAAATGTCACTGACCTGCCTCGGAGGGAATGAGGCTGGCACATGGGAACAAGTCAGGATTCCAGATGGAGCCTGGCCACTCTAGATCTATCTGGACCTTGCAAGATGGGCAAGGTTCAGATGGAAACGGAAGGCATGCTGGAAGGGAATGACAAGCATGAGCAAAAGTGAAGAGGTAGGGAGTCAGTGGGTGTTCTCTTTGGCGAGAGGAGAGGGTGCGTGGGGAGGAGTATGGAAAATAAGACTTGAAAGGCATATCACAGCCACATCGTGGAAGATCTTCAATGCTAGACTGGGCAGTTTTTCAGGCGGTGGAGTCCCACTGAATGTCCTTGAGCCAGGGAGAGGCCCAGAGAAGGTTACATCAGGAGGGAGGCTCATGGGGGTTTGGAGAGGACAGGACTGGAGAGGTGGGGAGAACTGCTTCAGGCTGCAGGGCTTCTTTGCATGTGGGGAGGGGTCTTTCTGGCAGGTGCCTCCCACCCTCTGGCCTTAGTCTGTTTCTGTGCTTGAGGTGGTACTCTGAGGGCATCCTCCTGTGAGAACGGGGAGTGGAACAAAAGCGTGTGGGCACTGACCGCTTAGTCAAGAAGACACTGGGACTCGGAATTGAGAGGCTTGTCTGGGAGTGACCGTGAGCTGGAAGCTTCCCTCTCCTGAGTTTTAGTTTCCTCATCAGTAAAACAAGGTGACAAGATGGATTCGATCTGGGCATTTTATTCTCAGGGCCATGAGCTCTAGAGAAGACTCAGAATTGAGCTTCAAGAAATCTGTAAACCCCTGAAATTGCATGTAAATGGGTCCATAGCTTCCATTGGATTCTGTTGCTCCGCCAGGTGCCCTCTGCTGGCAGTGAGCTTTCTTGCTGGACTCTCCGTGCATTTCGTGTGTTCTCTTCGCTTAACGGAGACCACACCCTGTCTTCACTCCCTCTTTTAGCTCCCCGTGAGACCATAATCTCAGGGCCAGTATATCTGTTTCTTGCGTACCTTTTAACCCTGGAGCTTGCATACACAATGTGTTGATCAGTAATTATGGAATGGAATTGAGTTCTGTGTAGGTAGATGCTCTGAACATTCCTTTTTCCTTCTCTCTTGCTGTAGCTGTTGGTGTGGTTTGGAGTACAGAAGTGGATGTTGGTCTAGATACAGAGCAATGAGGTGACTTAATTTTCCAGGTCAGGCAGGAATTGCCAGTTGATTTCAAATCCCACTCTTTTATTTTTTTCTGTCTTTGGCTAACTGGTAGCTTCCTAGCCCCGGCACCATTATCTTTAGACATTCTCTCACCTTCCAATCTCCTAAATTGTAGAGAAATAAAATGTCATTATTGTTTTCCACAAAATAAAACATGGGTCAGAAACCGGGACCTTTGCGTACATTGCTCTTTGGAGCCCCCTGGTGGCCATATGTTTCCTATGCAGTTTGTCTTCAGCGGCTGTAATGAGACCGCAATACCTCTGGGCTGTAACGTCTTCCTTCCTTTCCATCTTTTATCCGTACCTCAGAGCCAAAGGACAGTATTTCTGCCAAGTGGTCTTCCAGCCCATGGTTCAACATGCTCGTGACTGGGAGCACACAGCCTCCCAGGGCAACTCATTCTAGTGTCAGTCAGCTCTCCATTCATTCATTCTTTCAGCAAGCAGATATTGATTGACTACTGTGGGTAGGACTTGGAGATACAAAGATGAATAGGACAAGGCCCCTTCCCTTGAGGAGCTTGCAGTCTGGTTGGGGAGAAAGATAAGTAGCCAAACTATTATAGACAGTGAGATGTATATATATATAGACCGTTGTCATAGGTGTGCAGAGTTAATGGAAAGTTCCATCTTGTTATCAAGTAATTAACTTCTATAGAACAATGTATAATATATCCAACAAATATGAATCAGCATCTTTTGTGGGCCCCAGACCTCATGCTGGTGTTGGGAGTCAGTAAATAAGCAGGGACCCTATACTCACTGAAGGCAGGGACAGTGGTTTACCAACTGTGAGACGCTGAATTTGGCAGTAAAGGAATGGACTCTGGGAGCACGAGGGAGGGAGTAATTCATGCTGCATTTGCACAAGGGATCAAGGAGGAACCTCCATTGAGAAGGACCTGTTTTTAAGCAACATTTCAGAACCTTGTTCCTGGAACCCTCTGACTAGTATATAAAGTCCCTTAGAAGCCACAGAATATTAAAGATAAATACTTTAAGCTTACTTAAAGTTTACTTACAGTTTATATGTCAAAACTACCATTCATAGAGTTTGCATTGCATTCCAGGCGTTGTGCTAAGTGCTTTACTTGTAATATCTCATTTCCTCTGTACAGCAGCTCTAGGAGATTACTAGTATTTTGATCCTCCATTTCATCGGTGAGGAAATTGAGGCTCAGAAAGATTAAGTAAATTGCCTTGGGTCGCACATGTGTAATTGTTAAGTGGCATATCCAGAATTAAAACCTGGGTCTGTTATTCTCCAAACCCCCTGCCTGGTGAATGGGAGCTGACTCTTAAATCCTTTACCAAGAGGTGTGCATAATCTTCTCGTTTTACTGATAGAAAAGCTGAGCGCCAGAGAGAGAAAGCACCCGCCGTCAGTCACCCAGTGAGTTACTAGCTGAGCTGGTTAGGAACCTAGGTTTCCCACCTCGCAGTCATGGGCGCCTCTGCCACTCAGTCTGTCATGATGTTAGCCCACGGCTGGCTCTTTGTGTCTTGGGTGCTTGGTGATTGATCCATTTTCTCCCCAGGAGGCGAGCTCACCGCTCCCAGATGTGCTGAGTGCCACAGAGCCCCTGAGCGCAGCCCAGAGGGAGATCCAGCGCCAGTCCACACTACAGCTGCTGCGCAAAGTCCTGCAGATTCCTGAGAATGAGTCAGAGCTGGCCGAGGTCTTCGCCTTGATTCATGAACTCAACAGCTCTCGACTCATCCTGTCCAACGTGAGTGAGGAGACAGTCACCATCGAGCAAACCTCTTGGTCGAATTATTATGAGTCTCCATCCACGCAGTGCCTTCTCTGTAGCAGCCCATTATTCAAAGGGGGACAAAAGTAAGCACCCCTTTCAGATATACCCTGCCCCTAGCTGCCCCGTCTGACTTGGCCCATGATGCCCCTTTTTCAAACAACTGTAAAGCTGTAACCTTTGAAGATGTTATTCTCCGCTTTTCTTAGGTTTCCTTTACTTTTTCTATTGCCAAAAGTAAAATAATAATAATAATTAGTAGTTATTCATTATTTACATTGAAAATGCCTGAAAATTATTGTCACCAACTTAGGATTTAGTTTACATCTGGACCCTCCAGCATAATGCTTGGATTTGGGAGCTGAGTGGGATTGGTTAAACTGGGTAATAAATTGAGAGTTATAGTAACTTTAGGGGTGATTCCACAGACCAAGTTCCAACAGAGTGGGAACACTTACCTAGGAAACCTTGAAATGCAAGCTCTAGCACCTTCGTTTGCCAACTGCATTAAAGTCTTATGAATTTTGCCGTTTATCACTGAGCCCTGGAACTAGATTAAGAGGTTGATTTCCCTTCTGCTTTTTGTTGGTGACATTTTGGGTACTAGCTCCCTGGCTGGGCCCCAGGAGTGCTGGCTGCTGACAGCCAACCGGCTGCAGGTGGTGACTGCCCAGGTGAAGATGTGTCTGAATCCCCATTGTCTGGCCCTGCATAGCTTCATGGACATCTCTACAGGTGGGTGCCAGCCTTTCTTCCCTCAGAGGGCCCCAACGCAGGCCTGAGAACAGCCGTGGTGGCTCAGACCTCCGGCCCTTTGATCACTGGACCTTCTCTCACATGGGTTTCTGAGGAAGAGGAGATTTTCCCTCCTGGATATCTCAGAAGAGAAGTCAGAACTTGGCCCCAGAAGAACACATTTACCTCTCAAGTGTTAGGACTCTTATGTGGGATCTTTAAACAAAGTTAATTTTAAAATTATCTGAAGAAACTGGAAAATTCTGACAAGTAAAAAGAGAAAACTAAAAAATCAATAGGAATCCTACCTCCGTGAGGTAAAACATTTAACATTGTGCTCTCTAATCTTCCAGATGTGTTACTGGTCCATCCAGAATATAAGAAAGCATGGAGGGATTTATAGGGCCATAGCTGTTCTTTCAACAAAAGCAGGGTTGTGCTGGAAGTTGTTTTGGAATGTGGGTTTTAAATTTACCATGGGCATCTTCCCATGCCAGCAAGTGGAGAAATACATGACTATTTTTAAGGAGTGTGTGGTACTCCATTTTGAAGTCCTCTTTATAATGAAATCTTTGTGTACAGCCTTAATTATTTCCTTTGGGCAAATGCTGAAAAGTGGAATTGCTACCTATTCACCCTTCCACTCTTCAACATCAAACATTTACTGAACATGCACCATGTGCCAAACATTGTGAGATTTGAATCTTGAGTTTTACATGTAGAATTGAGTGCTGAAGATTGAAGAGTATTTGTTACTTACTCTGTCTTCAGAACCTTATGGTGCCTTATTTTGAATTCATGCTTTTAAAGTCTTGTCTTGCCAAATGGAGTTTGTACTGTTTTATCCCCTTGCCAACAGTTAATGAGAGTGCCATTTCACTGCAGTCTATCTAGGCCAGCAGTACCTGGGATTATATATTTTTTAATTTTAACATTATTTTTAAATTGACGTACAGTAAAATTTACTTTGTTGTTGTACAGTTGTTCTGACACATGCACTGAGTTGTGTAACTGCCACCACAATCAATAACCAGAACAGTTCTGTCACCCCAAAACACTCTCTTGTACTGTCCCTTTGTAATCAAACCCCACCCCTCAGGCCTAACCTCTAGTAGCCGTTTCATGTGTTCTCCGTCCCTCTGGTTTTATCTTTCCAGAGTGTTAATATAAATCCAATCATAGTATGTACCGTTTTGAGTCTGGCTTCTTTGACTAAGCATGCCTTTGAAGTTCGTCCATATTGTTGCATGTATCAATAGTTTGTTCCTTTTTATTGTTGAGTAGTTTTGTGTTGGGGGGGTGTACCACAATTTATCTGTTCACTCATTGAAGGATGTTTGGGTTGTTACCGGTTTCTGTCAATTACAAATAGAGCTGCTATCAACATTTGTGTATAGGCTTTTGTGTGAACATAAATTTTCGTTTCTCTTGGTTAGATGCCTACGAATCACATTGCTGAGCCGTATGATAAGTGTATGTTTAGTTTTGTAAGAAGTTGCAAAACCATTTACCTAAGGATCTGTACCGTTTTGCATTCCCTCCAACAGTGAGTGAGAGTTCCAGTTTGCCCCCCTTGTCAGCACTTGGTATTGTCCATTTTGTTTTTGTTTCTTAGCCATTCTAATAGGTGAGTTTTGTGGTATCTCATTGTGGTGTTTTAATTTGTATTTCCTCAAAGATTGATGATGTTGAGCATCTTTTCATGGGTTTATTTGCCATCTCTGTGTCATCTTTGAAGTATCTGTTCAGTGTTCGGCCTTTGAATTGGGATGTTTTCATACCATTGAGTTTTTAGAGTTCTTTATATATTCTGGATGTAAGTCCTGTGTCAGATAAGTCATTTGCAAATATTTTCTTATGGTCTGTGGCTTGTCTTTCCATTCTCTTAACAGAATCTTTCACAGAGCAGAAGTTCTTAATTATGAAAACACCAGTTCATCAGTTTTCTCTTTTAGGGATTATGCTTTTGATGTTCTATCTAAGATCTCTTACCTGAATGAAGATCATAAGTATTTTTCCTATAAAAATTTTATTATTTTATGATTTACATTTAGATCTGTGATCAATTTTGAATTAATTTTTGTATAAAGTGTGAGGCCCAGATTGAGTTAATTTTTTTGCATGTGGACATAGTTGTTGTACCACCATTTGTTGAAAAGTAGTCCTTTCTCCATTGAATTGCCTTTGCTCCTTTGTTGAAAATCAATTGATAATATATTTGTGGGTCTTATTTCTGTACTCGGTTCTGTTCCATTGGTGTATGTCATCTATCCTTTTGCCAGTACCACACTTGTCTTAATTACTATAGCTTTGTAGTAAGTCTTATAATTGGGTAGTGTGAGTCCTCCAACCTTGTTCCTGGTTGAACTGTTTTCGCTATTTTAGTTTCTTTGCATTTCCGAATAGATTTTAGAATTGGTTTGTCAGTATCTACAGAATCCTTCTAGAATTTAAATTGGGATTGTGTTGAGTCTATAGATCAGTTTGGGGAAATTTGACATGCTGAAAAATATTGTCTTGCAATTCATGAGCATGGTCTCTCTCTCCATTTTATTAGGTTTTCTTTTTATTTCTTTCATCAGTGTTTTGTAGCTTTTAGCACATAGGTCCTGCACATATTTTGTTAGATTTATACCTGAGTATTTCATTTTGTTCAGTGCTAAATGACCTGGTTCAGTTTCTGACTGTTTAGTGCGAGTGTAGAAATATGATTGAGTTTTGTCTGTTGGCTTTGTACCTAGTAACCTTGCTTAAACTCATTTATTAGCTTTAGGAACTTTGTGTAGATTAGTGTTGTAATTTTTTAAAGTTTGTCAACTTGGTAGGTAAAACCTGGTATATCATTTCTTAATTTGTTCTGTTTATTTGATTCCTAGGAAGATTGTATATCTTTTGTGTTTTTTTCTCTTTTGTGAACATTTCCATTCTTCAGAGTATTTTGTTGACAAAATTTTCCCCCAGTTTATTAGTTGTCCTTTAAATTTGTTTGTCATGTTTTTTTGGATACAAAGGGGTTTTTTTTCTTTCGATTTTTATGTAATCAGAGCCTTGATCTTCTCCTTTATGGCTTCAGAATGCCTTTGGTATCATGCTTAGAAAGGCTTCCCCATTCCTTTATCCCCTTCTTATTAATGGGAACACGTATGCCAGAATTTGCTGTTGTGCATTATATTTTGTGCCAAGGTAAAATCACTCTTTTATTTGTCTTAAATTGACTGCACTTAAATTCCTTTGAGTCTTTTATCCCGGGATTTGGTGTAGGGGTGTTTTTATAGCCTTTGTTACGTCCCCTGCACGTCCCTGGGCTGAAGGCTGCTCCTGGCCTTTCCCCTTGGTGCGGCTGTGAGAGGTAGAGGAAGAGTGACACCTTCGGTCATGAGGACTGAGCTGGGTGGTAGGGGGATGTTTCTTTTTTCATTAAAAAAAATTCCACTCTACCTATTTCATTACTTTCTCATTTAGCAATTTATTATGGACAACTTTATGTCAGAGCTTTTAGGTCTGCCTTATTCTTGTTAATGATGCATAGTTTTCTGTTTTATGAATGCACCATAATTTATTTAGCTGTTCCCTTATTCATGGACATTTAGTTTGTTTCCAGCTTTTTGCCATTTAGATGATGATACAGTGAATTTCTCTGTGCCTCTTTCGAACCTGCAGGTCTTTTTAATGTGGGGAACAAGCTGCTAGTGAGCCTGGACTTGCTTTTTGCAATTCGAAACCAGATCAAGCTGGGAGAGGATCCCAGAGTGTCCATCAGTGCTGTTCTGAAGTCGGTGCAGGAGCAAACAGGTAAAGGCTGGCTCCCTCCCTTTCCAAAGTTAGTCCTAAGCTCCCTGGGAATTTTCAGTGATGAGCTTTGGTTGAAAGAGTCCTTTTGGAGAAGAGTCTGATATTTTGAAAAGGAGACATTCTTGACTTCCTAACACACTTCTACTTTTGAATTTTATAAACACCAAACTAACTTTGGAAAGCATGCACGAGGGTTTCCATGCAGCCAGGAACCCTCAGCATGAGATTAAACTGACTTTTAGGAGCTCAGCCTTTGATTATAGGTACGCTTGACCTCACTGTGTGTTAATCAGACTCATTTTGAATACACAGCTCCTGGAGATCTGTTCCCAGTCCCAAGGCTCATCTGAGACCACCCTCCTTACTATTAGAAAATTTTCTTCCCCTTGCTCTCCTTACTTCTGTTTGTGCTTTTTCTGTCCCATTCCTGCAGACTCCAGGCCCCCTGTACCTTCCCTGCTGTGCGGTCACATGGAGTAGAGCACAGGTTCTAGGGTCAGACAAGCCTGTGTTTGAGTCTTGGCCCTGCCACCTAGTGGCTGTGTAATTTTTGAGCAAGCTGCTCTCTGTGCCTCAGTTTCTCCAGTTATAAAGTGAGGATAATAATAGCTCCTGGTTCACAAAGATGTGAGAGTTAAATAGGTTAATGTATTTAAAGCTCTTGGGGGCCAGCTCAGTGGTGTAGCAGTTAAGTTGGCACGCTCTGCTTCAGTGGCCTGGGGTTCGGAGGTTTGGATCCCAGGCATGGACCTACACACCACTTATCAAGCCATGCTGTAGTAGGCATCCCACATATAAAGTAGAGGAAGATGGGCATAGATGTTAGCTCAGGGCCAGTCTTCCTCAGCAAAAAGAGGAAGATTGGTGGCAGATGTTAGCTCAGGGCTAATCTTCCTCAAAAGAAAAGAAAAGAAAAGAAAAACTACAGCTCTTGGCAGTGTCTAGTGCCTGGTAGGTGCCTGGTAGGTGCCTAGTACAAGGCAGCTATAACTCTGATTGGAATTGCAAAGGCCAGGGTGCTTGACCCTCAGGGTGGTAAGTACTCTTGGGGGTTCTTAGGAGAGAAGCAGCCTGACAGAATTGCTATTCTTGCTGGCCTTTGGCTTACCCCCGGTGGCCTCAGGGTCTTTTTCTGTGACCCCAGTGCTCTTGCTCTCCTTCCAGAGAAGACTCTGACCTCAGAGGAGCTGAGCCAGCTGCAGGAGCTGCTGTGCAATGGCTATTGGGCTTTCGAGTGCCTCACTGTCCGAGACTACAATGACATGATCTGTGGCATCTGTGGTGTGGCCCCCAAAGTGGAAATGGCCCAGAGGAATGAAGAGAACGTGCTGGCACTGAAGAGTGTGGAGGTAAGTACCCCTCGACCCCCATGAGTGACTTTAGAACTGTCCTCACACTTTGGCAGCCACCCTCCTCCGTGATATCCCCAAGAACAGATGGCTCTAGTCCTGTCCTGTGTGAGGTGAGTGGCTTTTTCCTGCCGGCAGGCCAGACTCTCATAGGAGCACATGGGCCATTGTGAGGACTTAGACTAAGTGACGTGGAGAGCCACTGAAGGGGTTTGAGGAAAAGCGTGACCTGATCTAACTTAGGTTCTTAACTAAAAATGTTCAGACAAAGATATACCAAACTCGGGGCTTACGCATTACTTCTAACAAATATCCAAGAAATATTATGATTCCAGTCACAGCAGAAGCAGATGTACGTCCCCAACTCGTTGTCTAAGGCCATATAACCTTGAAAACAGAACAAGAAAACCAAACTAAGCTCATGAATGTAGATGCCAAAGTCCTGAATAAGATAATAGCAAATCAGATCTAACAGTGAATAAAGTAGTGCATTATGACCAAGTTTATTCCAGAAAAGCAGGATTGTTTCAACATTAGGAAATATACGAATGTAGTTCACTACTTAACAGTTTAAATGAGAAAACCCATACGATTATTTCATTAGATATAAACAAAGGCTTTCATTGTTGTTCAACCCCCATTTATAATAAACCTCTTGGCAAAATGAGAATAATAGGGAATCTTCCTTAACCTGGTACAGGGTTTAAAAAAAAAAATCCCATAGGTTGATTAACTCTTTCCCATGATCATGCTGAGAGGTCTGGTCGGCATGCGTAGGTATGGCGTGCTTCGTGAGTATGCTAGTAGTAGCACTGGGCTGGGAGCCTTCCATCTCCGAACTCGACCATAGTGACCAAGAGGACTGGAACATGACGTGACTCTAGGCACTGGACCTAGAGCTCACCTGTTCACCGTGGAGGGCGGTGCCAGACCTCTGGAGAAAAGCTTTGGTGTATTTGGCAGGGCCAGCTGAACATATTGGGGAGTTAATGTGTATTCCTCTTGTTCTTCTCAGTTAAAAAAAAAGTGCATATATTGGTCACATATTTCTGTTTGAAGGATGGTGATGCATAACAAGACATGAAAACAAGCATAGTGCTTCCTGGAGCCTTCTAAGTGGTCCTGGTAGATAAAATGAACTGCAAAAACTTTCACTTGTGTGTGATCTCACCAAGAGCTATTTCTAGACTCATTCAAATGTGCTTTCCTGATGGTAATATTAATAGTAATGCAGCTAGAACTTATTGAGCGTTTTATTCCAAGTGCTTACTCTGTGCTCAGTGCTTTAGTGGATGGCTTACTTCTTACCCTAACCCTGTGAGAGTTTTGTAGGTGAAAGGGCAGAAGCCCCGGCGGCTTGTCGGTTTGTCGAAGCTCACCCAGCTGGGAAGGGGTGGCGCTGGGACGTGAGCTTGCTCTGGCTGGCTCACTCGGAATCTGAGCTCGTAAGCACTGCCGTGCTCCCCAGTACCTCCTGGGGCTCTGAGCTCGGGTTTTTTTAAACACTTGGGCTGCAGAGACTGTTTGGCTTCCAGAATAGACAGAAGCCTACCTCCCTGCAGAGCTCAAGTCTTCTAGTCCTGCCTGGCACCTGCCTTGCCCTAGTCAGGGCTCTTTCCTCACTGAATGGACCAGCTCCCTTCCCTCTCAGTATGCATGTCTCTTCCCTTCTGTGGTGCTGGGTGTTTCCAGAAACCAGGACTTTATTTTCTTCCTTTTCTATGTGCAGAGAGGCGTGGTGTATGTGAGGAGAAGGAGAAGGAGTAGGGAGTATTCTGAAGGCTATGAAATGAAACAGGAAGTCGTTGAACAAATCTTAAATGTGCACTTATCCATGGGGGGACCGTCTGGTTGGCCCGTCCCATCAGGGACTGTGTAGACGAGGACTCTGGACTGATGACAATAACCACATCAGTTTGTGCACACAGCACACTCACCTGGCATTTCCTGTCCCCTTGTTCTTTGTGGAAAGGGCAGGCTCAGTACCTTGTGAAATTGGTGGGGGATTTATGCCATTTACTCTCAGCACGCACTAGTACCCTGTGAGGTGGGGAACAAAGGGGAGTAAGAGAGGGGAGGTGTCTTTGTGTAGAGCAGTTGTTCTCAGACTTACATGGGCGTAAGAATTACATGGGACAGTGGTTCTCAAACTTTCTAGTGTCGAGGGCCTGCTGGGCCCCACCCACCAGGTTTCTGAGTCAGTAGGTCTGAAGCAGGGGCAGAGAATTTGCACTTCTATCAAGTTCCCAGGTGCTACTGGTCCAGGGACCACATTTGGAGAACCACTCACCTAGGGAATCTTTTTAAACTGTGAATTTTAGGTATCGGCCCTATAAGTAATGCAGATAACTGTGATGGAGGTAGTAGGATCAGGGTCACATCTTGAGAACCACAGACAGGGCATACAAGAAGAAAAGTTGACTAGCACAGCTGCTGGATGTCTACACTAGATAAGTGAAGCTGCATGAGGTAGAGGAGAGAGCTGTGTGCTGGCAGGGTCTGGGAGGGCCTTCTGGAGGAGGTCAGGGATCAGCAGGGCCTTCGAAGTGGGTGGAATGTCACTAAATTTTATTCCGATGATTCCTGGCAGCCGGGGGTGGGGATTAAGGACTTGGGCTTTGGAACTAGACCTTGGCTCATATTCTTGTTCTGTCCCCTGCTTCAGGAATCTCACCTTAGACTCCCCTGGCTTGTATTGTAGGGGTGAATTAGATAGTGTCTGGCATATACAGGTCCTCAGTCTAGCTCCTCCCCTTTCCTCAGGCAGGGAAATTCACATAAATAAAGGTATAGATGCAGAAGGGACTTAGGGACTGTTCAGGTCTTGCGGGGTGAAGTTGTGTGGGAGGAAGGAATGTGGCCAAAGGCAGTTAGGTACTAAGATGTCAGATTTTGGGGTGTCCCATCAATGCATGACTGTCATCCCCCCCCACCCCGCCACACTTGATTGTATCCAAAATGTAGGCTATTGTGTTGCTAATATTCTGTGGCTCCTACAGTTTGACCTTTTTTATCCTGACCTTTTAGTTCACCTGGCCTGAGTTCTTGGGCTCTAGTGAGGTAAACGTGGAGGACTTCTGGGCCACCATGGAGACAGAGGTGATTGAGCAGGTGGCCTTCCCCGCCAGCATCCCTATCACCAAGTTTGATGCTTCTGTTATTGCCCCCTTCTTCCCACCACTCATGAGAGGAGCTGTGGTCGTCAACACTGAGAAAGACAAGAACCTGGACGTGCAGCCAGTACCTGGTAAGGCCGCTTGGGGGCTGACTGGGGTCAGGGAAGGGCCCACTCAATAGGCTGGAACATTGTCCATGGCAAGACAGAGCAAATGGCGGAGAGGGGACTAGACCCACCTAGAGGGCTCCCTCTGGAAAGATAATGACAACCTGTGACCAAATCCCCTAGAGATTAAAGTCATGGTGTAGAGTTTCACAGAGCTGCCAGCAGTGTTGTATAGGCCTGACCCCCACAGCTCACTGTCAGCCTTCTGGGGTGCACTAAACTGAACAGTGGGAATCCTCTGACAAACGCTGATGATAAGGTGCCAACCCCAAAGATTCTCACTGATAACTGTAGGGGGAGGCCAGAGAGTCTGCCTTTTAAACAGGTCTTTCAGATGCTTTTGCAGATGTTCTGTGGATGTCCATTGAGAAGCCCTGGACTGGCTGTTGAGAGCATAGGTTTCTGACAACTTGGCTTTGACTCCCAGCTGTGCCACTCAGTCCCTATGTGACCGCTAGCAAATCCCTTCATTGCCCTGAGCCTCTGTTGCTTCATTTACAAGAGGGCATGGTACTGTTACCCACCTGGGTGATTGTGAAGATTAAGTCAGCTAATATAGTTAGAGTGTAGCTTTCTACTTTTTTTTTTTTTAACTGCAACTCAGAGTAAGAAATAGGTTCTGCATCACGACCCAGCATGATACTCATATAAGTATGCACAAGTGTGTGTAACTAAAACAAAACTCTCATAAAACAGTACTTTTACTTACCAGATGCAGTATACTTTCTTTTTTTCTCCTGAAGGAGATTCACCCTGAGCTAACATCCATTGCCAATCTTCCTCTTCTTTGGCTTGAGGAAGATTAGCCCTGAGCTAACATCTGTGCCGATTTTCCTCTACTTTGTATGTGGGTCACTGCCACAGCATGGCTGATTAGTGGCGTAGGTCCATGCCCAGGATCCAAACCCATGAACCCGGGCCGCCAAAAAGGAGTGTGCTGAGCTTAACCACTATGCCATGGGACCGGCCCCCATTTCATTTTTAAAATTCTGGATATGATCTGCTAAATTGGTTTATAAGTACTTAATAATGTTGCATTCCACTGGTTCTCACACAGTGCTTCCTAACGTTAGATACTGAGGTCCCACCTCATATGTGATGCTCCAAGGCCCAGGAATTGTTTTTTAGGGCCTCCACATAGTTCTGTTGATTTGGCAGGTTCAGGAATAGAGCATAAAGTGAGCATTTTTAAAATGAGGGCTGTTGCTCCTCTCGTTGCTGCAGTTGTGGTAAACGCCTGAGATCGTGGCTCTGAAACCTGTAAAGGGTAAAAGCTGACCCATTTGAAGGTTCTTTGCAAGGGTGCTCTGCTGCATATCCCCTAGACGTTCAAGGGCAGAAAGCCAGTTCTGAGAGACTTCACATATCTCAGAAGCTGTAGGACCTGCCTGAGACCACCTCCTCCAGCACCCAGGGCAGTGCTCGGGCAGAGTTTGCTTCCACTGCTCGCTGCCCTGTAGGTCCAGCCTTCTTGTTCTCACCCTCACATGTGAGGGGCGACCCGTGACCTCTGTTGGCTGGTGGCACTGCCCTTGCATCAGCACCGTCATCTCTTGCAGGCAATGGCAGCGCCTTGGTGAGGCTGCTTCAGGAGGGCACCTGCAAGCTCGAGAAGATTGGCTCCTACACTGAGGAGGAACTGCGGCACCTACTGAGGCAATGTGGCATCCCCTTTGGGGTAGAAGACTCCAAGGTGAGTGTCGGGGCAACAGTGGAGGTCGCCATCTGGGAGCAGGCTGATGGCCCATTTTTCTGGGCAGGCATACAGACACCTATAACTGTGTGCCTGTGTTGGGCAGAGAGTGCTGGCAGGCAGGGAGGCCTAGGAGATAGTCAGCGGCCAGATCGAACATGCGTGTGAGACCTTTCCCTCCATAGTTCCTCTGTGGAAGGCCGTGGGCCCAGAGTCTGCGATCAAGAATCCCGGTCTCCTGCTTACTGTGTGTGACCTTGGATAAGCTACCTTATGTTTCTGAGCCTCAGTTTCCTCACATGAAAGTGGGAATAACCAAAATCCCGGCCTCACGAGGTTGTTGTCAGGAAGGCACTTTGCACAGTGTTTGGTTATCCCCGTCCAGGCTCTCAGAAAATGAGTGCTGTTACATCAGTAGAGAGAGTGAGTATGTGTGTCATCCATCCGTTATTTACCTTCCTTCCTACTAATGAGCTGTTGAAAATTTTGTGCTGCTTTTAAGTCCCCCGTCAAATGTTAGCTTCTCTTTGAAGCTTCCCCAGCCCTGTCAAAAGTAGGAAGAACCCAGGCCTCAGAGTCTGGTGGCTTGATCAGTCTGGCTTGCTCTGTCTGTCACCTGGTCCTTTCAGGGCCTTGGGGTCCCCATCTGTACCTAGAGGATGTTGGCTGGTGAGGCTCCAAGGTGAGGCCTTGACGGTTTATTTTGCTTTGGGTATTGAAGTGAGCATTTGTGCTGTGCACCAGGCTGGCCCCTTAGCATTTATTGCTGTGTTTTAATCTTGTTCTGCCCCAGGACCAGCTCTGCTTCTCCTTGTTGGCCCTCTATGAATCTGTACAGAATGGAGCCAGAGCCAGACAGCCCCCACCTCATCTCACAGGGGGTAAAATCTACAAGGTGTGCCCCCATCAGGTAAGAGGCCAACACCGAGGAGCTGGGGGGGAATGTGTCCGTATCAGCTTGCCCACACAAAGAGTCTAGTTGATCCAGCTCATCCTGTGCGAGCTGGCATGTAGGTCACTGCACACCTCCTTACGGGTCAGGTGCCCCACTTTGGGCTAGGGAGGGAGCCTAGGTCATCATCAGTGAGTGTTTATTAAGGACCCTCCGTGTGCTCGCCCCTGCGTCAGCTGTTGAGGGTACAAAGGTGAGCCGCAAAATGTCATTCCTCCCTAGTTGACCTTGTGTTAGCGGGGAAATAAAGTCACTGTGGCTGGTGGTGATAGCTCTGAAGGAACTAGACAAGGACCTGAGAGACAGTAACGGGGAGGGACCTATTCCCCATGGGGCGGCTGGAGGAAGCTGAGAGCCCCAGTGATGGGCTAGGGAAGGAATGTTCCAGCAGAGGGAAGAGTGACGGCTAAGGCCTGACTGGGGACGCCTGGTGGGCCAAGAGGAGGCGAGTTTGGATTGGTCACCGGAGGCCAGACCGTGTAGAGATTTGTAGGCCAGACCTACAGTTTGGATTTTCTTCTGAGAGTGATGAGGGTGGACATGGGCTGATTTTGGTTTAGGAAGATTGCTTCCGATGTCTCTAGAGGGTGTAGACAGGGTAGGCTGTGGAATAGCTCCGGGAAGGTTGTGCCCTATATGACAGAGTCGGCCTGGGAAGACACTAGGGTAGAACCCCCTTGAACAGGTGCTGAACAGGGGAGAGACGGCTCAGCAGAGCCTGCAGCTCACTGAGGTGAGTGTAGGGTGACCTGGCTGTCGAAAGAACTGTCTGAGGAAGGTGCTTGACGCCTCCACCCTGGGCAGATCTGAGCCTGCTCAGAGGATTGTGTTCATGTGACTGGGGACTGTGTCATGAGAAGCAGCTGACAACGCAGGGGCGTGAGGGCTGTAAGTCTCAGGGCTGTGAGAGGGGAGTGCTTCACTTGGTGCTGCCGGCCAGCACTGGTGAGTGTGAAAGTAGGAGGTAAGAGGCAGAAGCAGAAGTCTTCAGTGCACACAGCTGCCCAGCAGTGGAGCGGCACTTGGGGGTTCCTGTCGGTGGAGGGGTTCCTATCTGGGGTCTGGTGGAGAGCTGCTGAAGATACAGATGCTTAGACCCCACCCCCAGAGGCTGATCCCTTAGTTTTGGGGCGGGCCCTGGGAGCCTCCCTTGTTCACCAGCTCTTAGCTGCTGGTGCTCGGCGGGGCTTGGAACTCCTGGTCTAATGGTGTGCTAGGTGGGGCACCAGCCTAGCCTCAGTGGGTGGGGCTTGGAGCAGATGCCCTGTGAGGGCTGCGCGCTCCCAACTCTTCCCTCAGGAGGGCAGGGATGAGCTGGCGACTTCATTTACAGACGGAAGTAGAGGGAAGCAGAGTATCGTGGGCTCTGGTAGGATAGCCGTGGCTTCAGTCATGAAACCTGATTGTTCGTCTTCTGGGAAGAAGTGAGTGAGAATGTGACTGAAGTCTGTGTGCAGATGGTCTTCTTAACCCTGTTGCTGTGCCTTCCATCCTTGCCTTACCCCCAGGTGGTCTGTGGCTCCAAGTATCTCGTGCGGGGCGAGAGCGCTCTAGACCATGTGGATCTGCTTGTCTCTTCCCGCCATTGGCCGCCTGTCTACGTGGTAGACATGGCCACACCAGTGGCCCTGTGTGCTGACCTCTGCTACCCAGAGCTGACCAACCAGATGTGGGGGAGGAACCAGGGCTGTTTCTCTAGCCCCACGGAGCCGCCTGTGGTGAGTTCCCTTCTGAGGAACTGGAGTGAATCCCACAGGCCAGCCACGTCTCAGCCCCTGGTTCTTTGGAAAGGCCTCGTGGGAACCATCTCCAGCATCTTTTTTCTCCATCAGTATTTTGTCTCAATGCTCTGGAACCATCATTTACTCCACACATTTTTACTGTCCGACCCCTGTGTGTGTTCAAGGCCACAGCATGTCATTAGTGTGCCCAGGGTATCCCAAACACAGGTATCTTGGGGTCAAAGGGGTGGCCTTCTAGATAGGCCTAGAAAATTGCCATCTTTGAGAGACATCATGCATGCTGACATATGAAAGGCCTGGACCATCCCTGTCTTGGATTTAACCATGAATATGCTGCATGGCATGCCTGCTGTGATCTAGAGGCACAGTGGCGTAGAAAACACTGACCTTATCCAACCCTCTCCTTTTAATAAAGGGGGAAAGTAAGGCCTAGAGTGGGGAGTGGATCTGTCCAATGTCACACAGCAGATGAGTGGCAGAGCCTTTGTCTCTGTGTCTTGGTACATCATACCAGGCAATGGTTCTTACCAGAGGCACGTGCCCTCTAAGGCCAGCTGCACCCTGTGCCGGAAGAGACGTTAGGACTGGTGGTAGGAGGGGGGCGTCATTGTTGTCACTCTTCTTTTCCTTATTCCCTGGCCTGGGGCTCACTGGCTCTGTGAGCTCATGCTGGGCACAGCAGAAAGGCATCTGAGCCTCAGTGGGAGGCACAGCCTCCGCTCTCCCCTGCGGCCCCAGCCTGAGGTGACTAGGCCTGGTAATAGTAGCAGCCCAGGTCCTCCAGCATCTCCTCTGGGCTGTGGCCACTGTTCCTGTCCTGTACTCACAGGAGGAGATGGGAGCATGAGGGGATTGCACAAGGAGATGCAATAGGGGTGACGTGAGGGTTTAATCCGGGCAGGCTGACCCCCAGCCTTCACTCAGGCCTGCCACACGGCTTCTACCTTAGTGATGGCCTCGCGTCACAGTGGCCACTTCTCTTTCTCTCTTCTAGAGCGTGTCCTGCCCAGAACTCTTGGACCAGTATTATACCGTGGACCTGCCGGAGGCTGAGCACTCTTTCCAGCACCCAGTCACCAAGACTGCCACCCGGCGCATTGTCCATGCAGGCACACAGCCCAGTCCTGGTGACCCCAGTGCTGGGCACCACTCCTTGGCCCTGTGCCCTGAGTTGGCACCCTACGCAACCATCCTGGCCTCCATTGCGGACAGCAAACCAAACAGTGTCCGCCAGCAGCCCATTGCCTTTGACAACGCCACCCACTATTACCTCTACAACCGCCTCATGGACTTCCTCACCAGCCGCGAGATTGTCAACCGGCAGATCCATGACATTGTGCAGAGCTGCCAGCCTGGTGAGGTGGTCATCCGTGACACCCTCTACCGCCTCGGGGTTGCTCAGATCAAGACGGAGACAGAGGAGGAGGGTGAGGAAGAGGAGGTGGCTGCAGCGGCAGAATAAGCCAGGCTTTGTACAGGGACTGCACCATCTCTCTCAAGCCATAATGAGGCCCTCGCCCCAGGCAGATCCAGCCAGGGGACCAGCGGGAGTGTGCACCTGTGGGGAGGGCCTCTGATGCTGGGCCTGACCAAAGAGCTTCCGTTTCCTGAGCACAGTGAGGCCCGGGGTCCTTAGTTCTCAGCCTTCTGGGGGTGAGGGAGGCACCAGGACACTCCTGACTAGCCTGTAGAGAGCACTTGGGGGACATGTATGTTCAACAGAGGGGAAGGCTGGCAGCAGGTAGCTTCCACGGGGCCTGCTGCGGGTCAGGCTGGAGGTCCTGGGGTGGGCTAAGGTGGAGTCCAGCACTAGGTGGGAAAGCTGCTGAGGTACCCCTTCCCACCCCTGGGAAACGCTGTTTCCAGCCCCCGCAGCCACACGAGTTCCTTAGTTTGTTGCCTTTGACTCGAGGCCTCGGGGGCCTCCTTAGCTCTAGGGTCCCTTTGGGCTCTTGTTTCTCCCAGAGGAGGGATGACGTTTCCCTCTAGCTCTTCCTGCCCCAAATCTGGGGAAGCTGATGAGGGAGAACCGGTCGGCCACAGCTCTCTCCCAGGACTGTCCTCTCTGCCCCGGGCTTAGAGGAAGAGGATCCCTTCCTCCCTTCCCTGGCCATTGCTGCTGCACCCTCTGTCCTCTCTGGGCCTGGACCCTCACCACAGAGGGGATGTGGCCAGTGGGCATGACATAACCTGGCGGCAGTAGGAAAAACTCCCTTCTGTGAAGGGGAAGCAGACTGGGCCGTAAGGAAACAGCAGGACTGGCTCGAGTGCCCAAGGTTTGCTTAGGGCACGAGAATTGGCCATGTGTTACTTAACTTATTGAGAGGAGTGGAGTAGGTGGCTTTTTTCCCCTCCCTCTTCCCCCGACAAGAATAAAGTTTATTAAATTATCTGGTTTTGGTGCAGCAAGAGTCAATTCCATGCTCATCGTGTGGGGCAGAGTGTGGCTGAGCTCCAGAGGGGCTGAGCTGGTCACTCAACATGGAGGAGGGATGGAGGGAGGTCCTGGGAATCCACAGGCCCTTGGGCCACGCAAAGAACCAGAGGCCGGCTGTGTTAATGCTGTTAGTTTAATGTTGACAGAGACACCCCGCAATGTGACTGTTAGTGAGGATGAGTCAACTTGGGGAAGTGCATGCTGCTTGCTTGCTGTAGCCCGCCACACGGGTCCCCTGCCTTCCAGCTCAGAATGTGGGGGACTGGGCAGAACGCCCCAAACTTTTAGCTGCCACCTGGCTCACTATAGGAGTACCAGATCCAGGGTGGGGTGGGGCTGAGGAGAGAAGAGGGCTAGAGGGCAGAGAGTGGACGGTTAGATTCTTACAGAGGAGCCACCGTGCTCTGAGGGAGCTGAGCCAAGCACAGCCTCTGAGCACCTGTCTGTTCTCGCTGCTCCACTCAGAGAGGGACCCTCCCCTCTACCAATGCCCAGGGAGCCTTGGTTTCTCAATGTTAGGGCAGCTCCTAGGGATGCCCTAGGCATAAACTAGTCCATTTCCATTGAGACATGAGGGGAGAAGGGAAGAGAGGTCCTGAAAATGGGGACAAGGTTAAGAGTGTGTTGCAGGTTCTTCCTGTTGGCATAGTGAACATGAGGCCACAGCATTGAGAACAGTGGGCCGGGGGGGGCTCAGCCCCAGCCCCCGACTGGCAGTGATGGTCCAGCCCTGGAAGCGGGGTCCTCTCTGACCTCCCATGGATCCCATATTCCTGAGTTTCAGAGCTGGACCAGGCTGGTGAGTGAAATGATCAAGGGCAGAGTCTGTATTCTCCCCATGGCGCCCCATCCACGGAGGAGTTGAAGCTTAGAGGAGGGGAGAGGCAGGGCTTCCCATTGTCACCTCAGCAGAACTGGTAGTTGTTGGGCTGCAGCAGGGGTTGGGCAATATCTCCCTGCTCACAGCAGGCCAGGTGCTCGCTGGAGCTCTCCTCCTCTGGCTCGCTGCTGCTGCCGCTGCTGCCACTGCTGCTGCTGCTTGGCAGGTTGGTGTAGTCCTGAGGGTGGGGGAGTCCGGGGGATGGTCAGGCCTGGTCCACCTGCTTCAGCCAGCCACCCACCCTGAGCCTGGCCTCACTGACCTCTCTCCTGTCCACTTGGGTCTGCTCCTGAAGGAAGCAGCAGATCTGCTGGAAGGTGGGTCTGTGGGTGGGCTCCAGGGCCCAGCAGGCCTGCATGATGCTGTATCTGAGAGAGGACAGAACTGCCTGTGGGTCTGGGGATCGTTACACACACACACACACACACACATGCCATAGGCCTGCCCAACAAAGGTCTCAAAACCTAGTCAGAATGAGCTTAGCACAAGGCGTGTGTGCATTAGCTTGTGTAATCCTTCCAGTAACTCCTGGAGAAAGGTGTTTTCATGGTGCCTGTTTTGACTGCTGAGGGGAGAAGTCATTCAGAGATGCCGTCTTGCCTAAGCTCTAAGAAGGGGCGCTCTCGTTGCCTGCAGGTAGGATTGAGAGGAGGGTTGAGAGGTGAGCTGAGCCCCTGGTTGGCTGTAGCAAGAGACTGAAGTGGTGGGTGGGCTGCAGGGCCCAAGGGGCTGGTCAGCCAGCTGAGTGGATCCATGTGGGCAGGGAGTAGCTAGGTGGGCACACGGAGCGGCCGTGTCGGGAGAGTGGCTGGGGACAGAATTCGTGGCCAGCTGGCCCATGGAAAGGCTGTGGTCAGGGTGGGGAGCCAGTGAGCAGCTCATGGTGGGCCGGCTGTAGTGAGGCGGTTAAGAGGCTGCAGTGGCCGGTTGGCTACACTGAGTGAAAGGCCGGCGGACACTACAGATCACCAGGACAGAAGGAATGAGAGGAGGAGCCGCCTTTGAGGTCAGAATAACAGAATCTGGGTAAAAAATCCGTCATCCAAGTTAGGACCAGCCCCAGTAAAGAGCTGCTTTCTCTGAGGTCATCTCCCAGCTACCAGGGGAACCAGTGGGACTGCTGACCTCGTGACAGCAGCTTGTTTAGTCTCCTGTGGGGGAGATGAAGCCTGGCTCTGCGATGTTGTGGACAAGGAAAGACTAGGGCCACACACGCCTTTTCATCCCCTTCAACCAAAGGCTGGGGCATCCCCCTTCCTCCCTGGGGTCCTTCGCTTACATGTTCTTTGGGGCAAACGCAGGCTGGGCCATTTGGTATCCGTCCTTGACCAGTTTATAGAACTTGCTGTTCACCAGGATGCCAGGGTAGGGGTTCAGCCCTGCAAAGGCCGAGATGATGTCAGAGGCCACGTTCAGTGCTCAACTCCACCCTCCCCCACACCCACCCCCATCGCAATGGGGCCCGGTGCAGAGGCTCCGAACTGGACTGTGATAACAACGGCAGCTCCTCTTAACGAGAGCTTGCTATGTGCCAGGCACCGCAAAGGGCTGAGGCTTCTGGAAATTGAGCGCCTTCACCCAGGCCTCGTGACACCACAAACAAATTCCATCACGGGCTTTGGAATAAGAGGCTAGAGGAGTGCATCGGAGGGCTTAGGCCAGGTCCCTGTGCCTAGGACTCCAGAAATGGGAGTTGCGTCCTCAAGGATATGCACATTTCAGACAAAAGGAAACAGCATTCTAGAAGGCAACAACTGTACAAGCGGACAGATGAAGCAACAGCCCCAAGGGAATGCCTGTCGGTGTGGAAGGTTTGCCAGCTCAGGCAGGAGCTGTGATGCTTGGTTTTAAGACGCCTTGCTCATCCCTTCATTCCCACCAGCCCTTGCTCTGCCCCAAGCACCAATCATCCTTGACTAGCATCCTCCACGAGGTATAGGGCCCTACGGGTAACCAAACACATGTCAGCCACAGGCTGAGCCTTCCCTGGGCCAGCGGCTCACCGAGTGAGAAGATCTCCCAGAGCAGGATGCCGTAGGACCAGACGTCACTCTGCACTGTGTAGATGCAGTCGAAGATGCTCTCAGGAGCCATCCACTTCACAGGCAGGCGGGCCTGGCACAGACGACCCCAGTCACCTTGGGCCCTGGCTCACCGCCCCCTCCACAGCCTGGCCCCACTCCTCCTCACACTCACGTTGCCCTTGACGATGTAGTTGGAGTCATTCATGATGTCCCTGGCCAACCCAAAGTCCCCAATCTTGGCCACACGCCCACTGGTCAGCAGCACATTTCGGGCCGCCACGTCCCGGTGGATGCACTGAGGGGAGGGCAGCAGGTTAATCTCAGCCCCATCTCTACCTGAGCAAGGTGCAGGGGGAGCAGCCAGGACCCCAGAAGGCCTCGGGGTCCTCAATGAGGGACTGGGTCCTGTACCCTGATTCCTCTCCCTAACCCTTCTACCAGGACCCAGGTCTGAGAACATTTAATGTGCTCAGACAATTCAGTGTCCGGAAACCACCATCACTCTGGCCCTCCGGCCCTGAGCAGACGAGCTGATTCGAGCCAGGCAGTCGGCGTGGCCTCCGAAGCCATGAGCCCTGGAGCTGAGTCTCTGGCCTCGTGGGCTCCTACTACTAGTAGCAAATATGACCTTCAGCCCCTGCCCCACCAGGCCCTTCCCTAAGCATCCACGCACACTGGAACCCGCTTTTGCCCTCAGACAATCCTGGGACTGTGCCTATTTTTATAGGTGTAGAAACTGAGGCTCAGAGAATTTCAATAGTTGCTCAAAGTCACACAGCAAGCGGCAGAGCCAGCAATCAAACTCTGTACCCCCAAGTCCACGCTGTAAGGAGAACGGTCACAGCTCCCACTCCCTGGGCCCTTCCTCCTGGGCTGGGCGTACTGGACACGTCGTCTCATGTCCTCACCCCTCTGAGAAAGGTTCTGTTATCCCCATGACACTCTGTGCTTCATGAGGGGACACAATGGCTATCTCGCTCACATGGTTGACTCAAAATGAAGCAATAAAGCCTGTTCTTGGAAATGGTGCCCTCGCAGCCTGCTGCACACCAGGGAAGTGGGCACTGCTCAGGCTGCGGCTCGCGCCCTGCTGGAGGAACTCCCAGGCACAGCTGCTCCTGCCCACTCCTGAAGGCCACGGAGGAACAAGCCTGGAGGCTGGGGCCATGGCCCACCTGCACTCTGCACGCTGGCTCCTCCCTTGTTCCTTCACAGGCCACTCTTTCCTCCCTCTCCTCCTCACTCATCTAGCCTCCTGGAGCTTTAGCCATCCCAGCCCCCTGGGTGACCACAAGGGGGAATCCAGTTCCAGACTCACATTCTTAGAAGCAAGGAAAGCCATGCCCTGGGCCACCTGGCTCGAGAAGTGGAGCAGGTCCCTCAGCTCCAGCGGCCACCCGTCTTCTTTGTCCAGGTCTGGGGTGGGGAGAAGCATCAGGGCAGCCCCCCTACACCACTGCCTCCCCCTGCCCAGCCCCCAGCAGCCCTTCCCCTCTCTCCTACGCTGGTACCTCCTCACCTTGCTCAGAGAACGAGTCATTTGAAGAGGAAGTGGACACGGGTCTCATCTCCACATAGGTGTCCACACCCTGGCTGGAGAAGCCACTGTCCCTACATAGGCGAGAAGGCCGGGGACTAGTCAGTCCCCATCACTGCACTGCCCAGTTCAGACCTCAACCTCCAGCCACCCCATGGCCTCTCCCAGCCACTCAGCAGGGAACGACAGCGACCAGAAAGAGAAGCTAGAAGTTATGGTCTGACCATGGAAAAACCATCTCCTCCCTTGTTCTAGAAACGATACTTCTATTAATGTAGCCTGGGATCCTGTTGGCAGGATTGGTTCACATGCCATTTGCCCTTGAACTCGCCCGACTCCATGAATCCTTTCCTCAGCTGCAGATTTGAAGATGGAAGCTAATACTTTACTTAGGTTCTCATTTTGATTTGATCTGGCCTGAGATTCTAGTTTGCAGAGGCCCACTGTGAGCTGCCCTCTCAGCTGGTGTCAGAGAATCGAAAGAGGAAGCAGATCCTGCCAGCCCCCATATTCAAGGACACTGGATAGAGTGAAATGGTCTCCTTCCCCTTTTGCCTCCCCAGGCTTGGCAGCTGACAGCGGCCAGGATGGGGGCCCAATATACACCCTTCTCCATCTGATCCTGTCCCAGCCCCCAGCAGCCTGGCTCTGAGACCCCACAAGCCCCAAGACCAAGACTTCCAGGAGAGCAGTGTGGCTCAGGTGAGTACTGGACCAGGAGTCCAGGCAGCAGAATTCTAGCCCAGGCTCCGTGTCTGCCCCTGACTCATATGTGACACGAAACTGGCCACTTCCTCTCTCTGGTTCCCTATGTGGCTCTGTCCATCTGCCTGGGCGGCTTCCAGGAATCACAGCATTACAGAACAACAGAGTGGGAAAGACCCGGAGAGGTTCAGCCCCGTGATCGCTCGCCTGGGGAAACCAAGGCACAAGTGGACCAGGGGCCTGGCCACAGTCATGCCATTTTGCCCCTTCTCGCCCAGCAATCACCAGACTCTATTCCTGCTTCTCAGCGGCGAGGTGGGACCTGACGGCGGCGAGGTGGGACCTGACATTGGCTACTCCTAAGTGGAAAGGGTTCATAGCCGATAGCACGTGCTATGGGAGAAACAGGGAGATTACCCCCAGATCTGCCCATCTCTGGGCTGGGACCCGGAACAGGTCTTGGTTGGTCTTTCACGTACGTTAAAGTGATGATTTCATTAACGCCCGTCTCCACCAGACACCACCCATCTTTGCCTTGGTAGTCCTAGAACATATCAGGTGCTCAAATATTTGTTGGATGATGGGAACAGTAGAAAAACTGAGTTGCCCGTATAACCAGGGGTGGCTCTTCCCCCTGGCATAGATGGGAATGTGAGGGCCATCCAGCTACTCAACCTAAGGTGGCTTTGGGGCCAGACCAGGGGCCCCACCTCCCAGTCCTGGCCTCCTTCCTGTCCTTTGCCAGGGCACTACCTGCGGACGTATTTCTTTTCCAGGTGGATGTTCTTGTAGCCAGTTCCCGCCTCAAGGTCCTGGCCCTGACTCAGGCTGGGTCCCAGCATGGCCTCAGCTTTCCTTCGAAGAAAGTTGAGCAGGTCGCCATAGCAACAGTACTCGGTGATGACCAGGACAGGACCTAGAGCGGGCAAGGGAGTAGGGTGAGCGCACCCCTTAACATGTGAACAGGCACATGTGGTGGGCGCAGAGGTACCCGGGCCTGGACTCAGGAGCCCCGAGTTCTAATCCTGACTGTGAGCAGCTTTCTCTGCTTTCTGTGCCTCAGTAGCCCCATCTGTCTAAGGCATAGGAATTTCAAAAAATTGTAGCCAAAGAATTCTTTCTTCAAAGGAAATCTATGGCAGCTCCATGTAGGTCAAAGCTGCTCTAGAAGAGGACGGGGCAGACTTGGAGTCCTGACAGGCCCGGGGGCACGTTTATGGACCCTGCATGTCCAAGCATCTTTGGGTGGGGGCTTCTTAAAAGGTAGATTTGGGGGCTTCGCTCCAGGCCCACAGACTCAGACTCCCTGGAGCAGAGCCCAGGGATCTGCACTCTTATCTTCTCTGGGGGACCCTGATGTGCACCGAGGTCTGAGGGCCACTGGGCAGAGCTCAGAGAGCTGTCTATCATCCACAAGCGGCTTCTGACCAGTCCAGGAGTCTGGCCTCGGAATCTGAGAGATGCTGAGACGTGAATCCTACCTTCGCTCAGAGGAGATGGGGAGGGGAAGGTGGATGAGGTGGCCCTGGGCCCTCCGGCACCCAGGAGGCCCCAAGACCGTGGGCCCCCATGCCTACAGGGCCCCTCACCTCCGTGGGTGCAGGCTCCCAGCAGGTTGACTATGTTCTCATGCTGGCCCAGGTGACTCATGATCTTCAGTTCTGACATGAGGGCCTCCTTCTCGTCAGCGTGAGCCGTGGCTGGGAGATGGGGCCACAGGACCCGCAGACGGGGAGAGGGCAGGACATGGAGAGCCACACAGAGAGGAGACACCCAGAGGAGAAAGAAGGGGGTCCCCAGAACCCCAAAGCAACCCAAGGCAGAAAGAGGGAGAAGGAGAAGTGCGGACACACAGACGGGAGTTAGGGAGAGAGAGGAAAGACAGCCAGTCACTGAGCTGGCCTCCGGGCGGCAGGAAGCCAAGCTGTGCCCAGACCATGGCCCAGGGTGGCCTCTGTGCACCCTAGCCTCTTTGGGGCTCAGTCAGAAGCCCCTCCAGGAATCCAGGAGTCTTTGCCCCCAATCCCAGGCTCTGTTCCCTAGGCTCTGACAGGCCGACACGTGGGAGATGCCTCTAAGGACGCCCGGGCAGGCCCTCCCCTAGCATACACCATCTCCCACCCACTCCCCCCAGTTCTCCAAGCCCCTTGCCCTCACTCACACTTCAGCATCTTCACAGCCACCTTCAGGACAGCATCTTCCTTTCCCAGACCAAAGGCCGTGGCCTCTACCACCTTCCCAAAGGCGCCAGCTCCGAGGGTCTTACCTGCCGCACATACAGGATCCTTAGGTCCCTGGGTGCCAAAGGGCCCTCTCTCGAAGGGCCCGCAGGCCCGCATGTGGCCCTGTGGTGGGAGGGCATGGTGGGAGCTGACATCCCATCTCACCAAACTGCAGGTTGTTGCGGGGGAACTCCCACTTCTCGTTGTAGGGCAGCTGGGTGGGGTCGATGAAGGTGTAGCTGTTGCCCTCGTAGCTCTCGATGATTTTCCAGCGCACCTGGTACTTGGGCTTCTGCAGAGGGCAGGGAGGAGGCCTGTGTCAGCCAGGCCGGGCGGGTGGCTCCCATCTCGTCCCGGGCCCTGAGGGCATGCGGAGGGCAGACCAGGAGGAGGCAGAGGGTGGCCCACGACGTGGTGAGAGGGGCAGTGTCACCTCATGCCCATGGCACTGCGAGCTTGCCCTCACCATGTGACCTTCCCTTCTCCAAGCCTCAGTTTCCCTACCTGTGTATTTGAAAGACTTGGACAGGGTCACCTCTGAGGGCCTTGACAGCTCTGATGATTTAGTAATTCCTGAGCCATGAGGGAGGTGGAACTTGACATCCATCCATCCATCCATCCATCCTCTCACCCAAATATTGTTCGTTTTTATTTTTAATTGTGTAAGATGCACGTACCACAATGTTTACCATCTCAACCGCTTTTGAGTATACAGTTCACTAGTGTTAAGGACGTTCGCATTGTGTACCCAACCTCCGGAGCTCTTTTCATCTGGCAAAACTGAAACTCCACACTCATTAAGCCGCTTCCCATTCCCGCCTCCCCCTATCCCTGGCCACCGCCGTTTCCCTTATCTCACAAATGTGACTACTCTAGGTGCCTCAAGTGGAATCATGCAGTGTCTGTCATTCTGTGACTGGCTTGGTTCCCTTAGCCTAATGTCCTCAAGGTTCATCCATGTTGGAGCATGTGTCTGAATTCCCTTCTTTTTTAAGGCTGGGTAATATTACCTTCCAAATATTTCACTGAGCACCTATTTGTTCCAGGCGCCATTGATTCAGAGCTGAACAAGAAAAGTCCCTGTCCCACTGGAGTTTGCATTCTAGTGGCTAAACAGGCATTCAACTGAAATAAATATATATGTAGGAAATTTTCAGACAGTGCTGTGAAGAGAATAAAGCAGGGGGCCAGCCCCGTGGTGTAGCAGTGAAGTTCACACGTTCTGCTTCAGCAGCCCATGTTCGTGGGTTTGGATCCTGGGTGAGGACCTACAGCACTCATTAGCCATGATTTGGCGATAACCCCCATACAAAATACAGGAAGGCTGGCACGGATGTTAGCTCAGGGCTAATCTTCCTCAGCAAAAAAAAAAAAAAAAAAAGAACAGAAAAGAAAGCAGAAAGCAGGGTAATGGGATAGAGAGTGACAGGTACCATTAAAGATAAGTCAGGGAAGTCCTCTGGGAAGGTGAGAAGACCAGCTATGTGACCATAGGAGGAAGCACTTTGCAGGCACAGTGAACAGAGATGCAAAGTCCCGGAAGTGGGGCAGGTCCTGGCAAGTCTGAGCAACTGGAAGGTGCCTGTGTGGCTTGAGGGGAGCAGGGGACCTTCCAGAGACAGGAAGGTCTTGAGGGCTGCAATAAGTGAGAGGATTCCCTTCCAATTGCAACCAGAGCCCTTGAGGGCTTGCCACAGGTGAAGGACACGGGAGCGAGGTCCTGCCCACAGGACAGTGAGGGTCTGGAGGACCTGAGTCCTTCTTGGGCTTTACATGCCACTCCCACCCACCCGGCCTGAGCAGAGCCGGATCTGGGAGGAGGACTGGCTGCAGCTCTCTTTCCTGCCCAGGGTGGCAGCTGCATGGGGGCATCATGCCAGGGGGTGCCCATAAGAAGTGCTGATGGAAGATGGAGTTTAGGTGGAAAGTGGAAGCTGAGCCGGGGTGGTGGAGCACACCGAGGCCCTGGGTCAGCGGTCCGGCTGTCTTTCCGGCCAGCCCTTGGGGAGAGGGACCAGCTGGGCTGCGCTCAGCAGCTGGCCTCCTTCACAGGGCACCCAGCTCGGGGGAGCTGATGGGTGTGTGAGTGGGTGTTGGGGAGCAGGGTGGCCTGTGGCTGCAGGTCTCGCCAGGTTAAGAGAAAAGACTCTGGGTAGCCATAGGGAAGAACTTCCAGATGGTAGTTTTGGAGAAAAGACTGCGGTTAGACATAGGGAAGGATTTCCGGGTTCTGAGTCCGGAGGGGAGACTACAGGTAAACTTAAGAACACCCATGGCTTGGGAGGAGAGTCTGAAGCGGGACAGAGGAGGAACTTCCTGAGTCTCAGAGGATTCAAAGCCTGCGTGTGGGTGCCTTCCCAACTCAAAACACAGAGACAGAGCCAGGAGGGGAGTCTCTGACCTCCCCTGGCCACTTCCATTTCCAGGAGCCTCTGCGGCCAAGCTGTTTTTTCTCCTTGTCACTTCTCCTTCCTCTGGCCCTGCAGCTGGGCCTGAGTCAGCCCCCTCCCAACCCCTGGCCCGAGCCAGGCAGGGGATGCAGAGGCGGTGGGGTGGGGGGAGCTAAGGGGACTTAAGGGAGGAAGAGGTTGTCTGGCTGGACTCTGGGATCTCAGAATCCCTGGACCTAGAGGAGGACACCGCTCTCTCCCGCCTGCCTCACGCATCCCCACCCCTCGGAAAGCGGCCAGCCAGCTCTGCTCCTACACCTCTGCGCCAGGCGGCCTCTGCCACGTGTGCCTGGAAAGAGCTCAGTGTGTCTCCTGGGGGCTTCTCCCCAGAGAGGCCTCTCCTCTGAAGACGTCCCCTTGCAGGAGGTGGGGACAGGCCGCCTTGGGCCAGATTTCCTGACCATGGCGGTAGTCACTATAATGAGAGCAGTGAGCACTTCCTGAGCTCTTCCAGTGAGCAGGGCGCAAGGCTGCACACTCCACGGGCATCATCTCCTTCATTCTGTGCAATGGGCCCAGGCCCCAGGCCCACCCCCAACCTCCCCTTGATCACCCGAGGTGGACTGGGAGACCTCGAAATCCTGCAACCCTCCCCACCTCGGCCTGCTGGTTCTGAGCAGGTGGATGTTCTCTGTCTCAGGAAGGTGGAGACCTCACTGGAAACCTTGGGGACCCTCCTGTCCATCCCCAACATGCCCCTACTCCGCAGAGCTCGGTTCTGACCCCTGGAAGCCCAGCCTCTCCAGCACTCCTCCTCCAGCCTGCTGACTCCTACCCTTTTCTCTTCCCCCTCAGGCCCCCTTGTGGTCTCTCTGGGGGACAGAAAGGCGATGACTCAGCCCTGAGGCAGAAACCACCCTTCCCCCAGATGGAGCCCCTCCTCGACCCAGGCCTGGGCAGTGACGATGGGTAAGGCTGAGTCCCCAGAGAAGGGACAAGTCTCAGAACCCCATCGGGCAAAGCAGAGGCAAATTGGACCGAGGGCTCTGAGGCAGGGGCATGACCATCTTGACCCTCAAGGTCTTGTCCCATGGGATGCCCTCCTCCTGGCCTCGGATGGGCTGAGGGGCAGTTGAATTTCTTGGATGGGAACTGAGGTGACTTGGGGTACGTGTTCCAAAAACGGCCCCACAGAGAGAAGCTAGGGCATCCCTAAAGCATGGCTGGCCACAGGGGCTGGGCACCCTGAGGCGGAGAGGGCTGGAGGGGAACTGGGCCCTTCTCTGGAATCTCCGCAGGGCATCCTGGGCCGAGGAGGCAGCTCTGTGGGGCACTGGGAAGCAGTTTTCAGCTCCATATAAGGAAGAACTTTGCAACAGTCAGAGCTGCTCAGACAAGAAATGGGCAGCCACAAGGGTGAGTGAGGTCCTGTCCCTGGAGGTGGGCGAGCAGGGCCCAACAACCACTTTGGGCGTGTAGTCAAGGAGATGCCCGACCTCAGACACCCCTCCAATCCCAAGACGCATGAGCTAACTTGGGTTCCCCAGTCAACTTCCTCCTGGGACGAGGCTGTGCAGCTCCCATTCTGAGCGCTGTCCGTGCCCACACTCTGCTAAGGCCTCTACGTGTGTCACGTCATTGAATCCTCATGACAGCCTGGTGGGGTGGCCACCATTGTTAACCCCATTTCCCAGATGGAGAAGCAGAGGCTTAGAGACACCAAATGTCCCAGAGTCCCATAGCCAGAGACTGGCAGAGGCAGGATTCAGACCCTGATTGGTCCATCTCCCAACCCTTGGCACTTAAACCAGACCATCCATCAGTAAGAATGTCAGAGGAGGAGGGTTCTTATAGGTCACTCAGTCTCATGGTACAGGTGGGGAAACTGAGGAACAGAGAGGGCAGTGAGTCAGCCAAGGTCACATGACAAAACAGTGTCAGAGCTGGACCCAGATGCCCCTAGTCTTAACCTGGGGCCCTGGTTTCTTGGGGCCTGTGCTCAGAGCTGCCTCCTCATGCTAGGAGCTGGCACGAGTATAAAGGACTGACCCATGGGCCTCTGGGTGCCCCGCATCCCATCCACCCTGCCTTCTGCAAGTCCTCTTCTCACATTAAATGCCCTAAGGCAGCTGTGGGGAAGAAAAGACAGTAAAGGGGCCCACAAGGTGGGTTTTCCACCCCTAACTCATATCACTCCCTGGTTCACACCCGCTGACGGCTCTGAGCCTATGGGATGGGGCCCAACCCCTCAGACCCCCTGCCCCCACCTGCCTCCTCTTGCAGGCACCAATATGTCCGAAACTCACCCTGGTCTTCCCCTACCTGCCTCTTTGCACACGTCGCCCTCTTCCCCAGAGAGATCCTTTCCATGAGTCTCAACTCCTTTGCCACACCTCCCATCCTCCAAGCCTGTCCCACCCATCCAAGCCACCTTCTCCAAGCAGCCTCCCCTCCCCGACAGCCGGAAAAGATCCCTACACTTCTGGCCCCCAACAGCCCTCTGGCCTGGCCCTCTCAGCATCTGATCCCACTGGGCGCCATCTTGTGTAGGGAGGCAGCTAGGCCATGTGGCAGAGGCCATGGGCTTGGGCAGGGGAGGCGCCTGGGACCCTTGGGCATATCCTTCAACCTTGCTTAGCCTCAGTTTCCCCTTGTAAATTGCTGACTGCCACAGTCCCTGCCTCTGGGTAAAATAAGATGATTCCAAGTTTCCCATAATGGTTAAAAACACAGCGTTTTAAAAACCAGCCTCTGCCGTTGACCCACTGTAGACTAGGATAACTGTCTCAACCTCTCAGGACCTCAGCTTCCAACTCTGGAAAATGGGGTTAGTGATGTTGCCTACATGCCGCGGTTGTGGAGGGCGTTAGGAAGATGTAGGCAACACGCTTCATAAAAATGTCCCTGAAATTGCTACCACTGATTGAGCACTCAAAGTGACAGGTGGCACACTAAATGTCAACATGCAATAAATGGCAGCTTTGATTAATAATAATATTAAATAATGAAGACGATGATGGTCAGGCCTTGCTCCTCCACTGGACTGCCTGCTGCCTGAGGTGAGACAGGCCTGGCCCGGTGACGCCCTCTCTGTGTGCCTGGAAGCCCCCAGTTGGGGCAGGATCCCATGTCGCTGTACTCCTGGAATCCCCATGGCATCTTCTCCTCTGTAATCCACGCCCTCACTTTGCTGGCTATTTGATCATGGCTGCCTCCTGCACTGGACCGTGAACCCTATGATGGCAAAGCCGCAGAGGCTCCTAGTTTCGGCTCACCAAGCACCCAGCCACTCACGTTGGCACACAGTAGGTGCCCACCGAAGAGCTGTTGGCTGAATGACTGACAGAATGAGCAGGTGTTTGGGGACTGAAGGGTGGATCCGCTCAGCCTGGGGGCGTGGTCCCAGGATTGGGCTCCCTCGTGCCTGGCTGCCCCTTGCCCTGCACAGACTCACCTGCTTGTACTTGTACAAAAGCAACAACAGCAGCAGCAGCAGCAAGGCCATGATGGACATGCAGGTGACCAGCACCGGTGTGAACAGGGGCTCGTCCGGGGGCTGCATGCTGGCTCCTGGGAGGGGCAGGCAGAGGAGTGAGTAGCACAGTGGGCCTTGAGACCCCTGCCCCCACTGAGACCAGGCCGGGGCACTGCCTGGAACACAGTAGGTGCTCAATAAATGCTTGTTGACTGAACAAAGCGTCCTCTCACCAGGAAGCCCCCAGAGCCTTCCAGAGCCTCCCCCAGCCTGGGGCAGGGAGGACAGCCTGTCCAGCTCTGCTCAGGCCCAGCCTCAAACCTGCCCAGAGTCACAGCCTCGGTGGCTGGGGGAGCCCCTCAGGTCACGCAGCCCCACCCCTGCCAGGGCAGGGAGCCTCTGCAGAGCCTGGCCTAGTGCCCGCCATGGCTTGCCCACCCCTCAGTGACGGGGCTCATCACCTCCACCTCTGGGCAGCTTGGACGTGAAGGCCTCCTGGAGGTCAGACTGATGCCTGCCTTCCCAGTGGTACACACAGCCCTTCCAAGGGTCTGGAAGCTGGGCTCCTGGGGCCTGGGCCCTCTTCCCGGATCAGTAACCCCAGCTCTCTCGATATGTTCTGAAGGGCAGTCTCCATCACCTTGCCCAGAGCAACAGCGTGGTCTGAGGCCAGATCTCTTGTCTGCCACTTAAGAGGTATGTGACATCGAACCTGTGACTTCTCCCTGAGCCTCAGGTTCACCATCTCCCAAGTGGGAAGGAACATGGTACTAACCTCTCAGGGTTGTGCGAGGTCGTTGAGACAATGCCTGGCGCAGTGCAAGCGCTCAATAAATGTTGGCTTCGTTATTTTTAACATACGACCACCAGCAGCGAGACTGAGAGCAGCCACAGGTGGCTAGCTGTGGGGTCGGCCAGGGCAGCAGCTGCTCCAAGGCCAGCTGCTCGGGCACCTGGGGGGCTGCTTCTGAGCCAGGCAGAGGCTCCCGCCCCGTGCTCTCTGGGCCCTGGGAGACTTGCTGGGACCTGGCACACAGTGGGTGTTGAAACCTGCTTGTCAGAGGCTGGAGGGTGCACGGGCCTCTCAGAATCAGAGCACTAACCCATATGGAGCCTTTGCACAGCACAGAGAGAGGCGTCCCTTCCCCTGGACAGCCAGCTTGCGTTACTGCCCAGGATGGACACCAGCCCCGCTCTTGGACAGTGGCCCCGAATGGATAGGACGGTGTCTCTGGCAGGAAGGGAGTCTGGGAGGGATGCAGAAGGCCATCAAGGCTGGCCCTGGGGTGGGGATGGACCGTGTTCACTCATCATTGCCTGTCTCCCTTACCAGACTCTAAGCTCCGTGGAGGTACTGCTCCCCTGCACCTGGCATACAGTAGATGCCAAATACACACTTGTGAATGAATGAATGAGTTAAAGTGCAGGCATATGAGCAGAGAGGCCCAATGCGGCCATGCTTGCCTCAGGCTGCATTCTTCTCTGGACCTCAAATCTGCTTCCGCTCCTCTCTCTTCCCACTACTGCAGTCCCACCAGTTCTAGACTCCTCTGTCTTGCTACTTCAGGAGACCTTTGGCCAGAAGGGGCGAGGAGTTGGACCCAGAGAGGTAGAACTCAGTATGGCTCCACTTTGGGACTCCGGCCCTGGCTCCCTGGGGGTGGGGCAGGTTCCGGGCCCCTCCCATCCTGGCCTGGCGAGGAGGGGCAAAGACTCACCCACAGAGATGGACCAGAAGGCCTGGGAGCTGTTCCCCATGCTGTTGTGGGCCCTGCACTGATACGTCCTGTTGTATTCCAAGGTCCCAACAGCCAGCTGGCTCTGGACAGTCACTTTGTGGAAGGGCTCCTGGCTCAGGACCTCAGGGTGTGAGTCCTCCAAGACCAACACTTGGGCATCATCACATCTGGGAAGAGCAGAGCGTGGCTTGGAGTTTTGGGGTGCCCAGCCTCTGCCCCAGCCCCTCAGCCCGGGTGAGGAAAGTAAGCAGAGCCCACTTACCTTTCAGTGCGGCCTCCGCACTGCAGCCATGTCACATTAGGTTGGGGGTACCCAGAGGCCACACAGAGCAGGGCCTCGGAGCCATTGATAAGGGCTCTCGACACCGTTACCTCTGGGGGGTCTGAGGAGAGAAGGAGGAGCAGACGAGGGAGGGATCAGCCCCAGAGGCCCCACGTCCCCTCACCTGACCACCTCGCACTGATGCTGCTCGCCCCCAACCCCCAACCTCTCCCAGCTGGTCTCTCCAGGAGCCCCAGGACCCCAACTCCAGCTCCTGCACTCACATCGCAGGGTAAGTTCAAAGGTCAGGGTTTCCTCGCCTTTGGCGTTTCTGGCCAGGAATGAGTAGCGGCCGGCCTCAGAGGACTTCAGGCGAGGCAGGGAGAGGGTGGAGCTGTACCTGCGTGCGAGGAGAGGGTGTCCAAGGTGAGGCCCAGCCCTGACAGCCCCCACCACTGAGCTCAGATAACCACCCTAACGTGCTTTGTTTGATTTTCGGTAAAGTGTCCAGGGCACAAAGGCCTTGGCTGAGCCAGGTTCCCAGGCTGGGTGCCACCGACACCTGGGAAAATCACCAACCCAACTTCCTTAACTGGTCCTCTCATCTGTAAAGTGGTTTGGTTCTGTGGTTTAGTAGACGTGATGTCGGTACGGTGCTGACACTGGGAGGCACGTCACGGGCACCACCGAATGTACCTACTTCCACCACCACCCCGGGCTCAGCCATGCCTGCGGCAAACGCCAGCGCCCCCGTCAACTGTCATCCCTGAAACTCTGCCCCTGCCAAGAGGGACTGTGAGAGGGACGAGGGGGAGGATGCAGCCGTGGGGCTACAGGGACCAGGGTTCAAGCCCCAGTGCTGCCATTTCTTAGCTGTGTGACCTTAGACAAGTTCTTAAACTCTCTGATCCTTCGCTCCCTTTCCACGGTGGGTGATGCTTATGGTAGGTAATTCACAGACGTGGCCTGAGGATTAAAGAGCTATGTATTCAGAGGGTCACTTTCGGCACTCAGGTTCACGGTGCCCTTTATGACAGAAAAGGACTGGAAACAAGTGCAAACCACGAAAGCTACCCTCAGCTGATTCCACGCAATTTTTGGTGTTATTCTTTTGTTAAGCTCGATTTGATAATTTGTCCATAATGAACATGTATTGTTTAGGTAATAAATAAGTTTTTAAAAAATAAATTTCAGCAAATTAGCAGCTCTTCTTTGGGAGATGTCTGCGGCCGCTCCTTTAAAACCCGTGGTGCTCACAGGTCAGTCTCACGCAGCCAGACCTCTGGCGTATGGAACCCCTCTGCACGTGTCAGTTCTTGGCATAAGTAACGTTTACTTCTTAAACTGAAAGAATTTAACATTTTTGGATGACTCAAAGTCACCCTTCTGGACACACCCACGCCATGAGCTAAGTTCGGTGGCTGTTTAGTGCCCGGGCTTGTCTGCCCTGGGATGAGTGGACCCAGACCACTATGTTCAAGGGGATCTCCCTGGTTCCTCTCCACAATGTCCCTGTTGCTTATGGACTCCTGAAACCTGCGCGTGGACCAGCCCCCTCCCAAGCATCTGCACACTCCAGATTCGGAACTTCTGCTTTGGATGAGGGGAAGCTAGAAATGCTGGCCAGAAAGGACGCCAGGGGAACCGGGGGGAACAAGAGGAGGACAAGGGAACATCCTTGTTGATTCTAACAGTTGACAAGGAAGCGCCCAGGAGTCAATGAGGTCTGGGCTTCGGGAGCTAGAAAAAGAACCCCAGAGAGCGCGGGCATTAGAACATGCACAAGGGACTATCAAGCCCAGGATGGCAAACAGGTCTCCTCTCATGAGCCAGTAAGGATGGAAGTACTGCCTGGAGCCTGTGTTGAGAAGGACTCTGGGGCTGCATCTAAACTCTGCAGGAAGGTGGCTTAGGGATATCTGTCATGAGTGTGGAGGGCAGCTATCACACACGCCCCACGTATTTGCTGTCCTTGATCGAGCTGTACTCTCTCATTCAAATAGAACAGGGTAAAGAAATGATTATTCTAACGTCTTTTCCTGTTAAAGAGGTATCCATGTTCCTCGTAGGGAGGAAACGCTCTAATTTAGACAACTACCTGGTTAGGCTACTCTGGATGGGAAAGTAAAATCCTAAGGACATAGTTCATAAGGAGAGAGGAAAAAAGATTTCTAAAATGTTGTGCACGTGGGATGAGCAGGATTCTAGGAGCGGAGAGATGGGAGAAGAGAGGGTGTAGAGTCGGACAGCCCTTTTGAGAAGAGTTTTGAGCCTTTAGGAGAAGAGTGGCTAGTGAGAAATTCTCATGGGTGGGTGACCTCAGGCCTTAAAAGAGCTTCTGATGTATCTGCATTGGGTGATGTTAATTCCCTCTTCCCCCAAACCTGTGTATGTGCAGACGCCCTGTGCGATCACTGTACAGAGTACGTCTAGGAGTGGAAATCACTAGGATTGTCTTCTGCACTTGGATTAGCCATGAAAGAGGGGAATGGAGCAGACTGAGAGTTCTTAGATGACCTTGAGAATGCACACCCCCAAGACGTCGCAGAATTGTTGAGGAGGCCGTTGGATCTCCCGAGGATGTGGGACAGATGGGTATGCAAATTTGATCTAAGTCTTAAACACAGATGACTGATATTGAGGTTCTACATGGTCAAAGAAAGTGAGACCAGAAAGGGGAAGGGGCTCGCTCCAGGTCACACAGCAAGGTTGAGACACGGCCTGAGGGTCCTGACGTCTGGCTGAAGCCTTCCCCCTCTGGCTGTGGGGCTGTGCAGACGGGAGCTGATCAGTGGTACCTGTATGTGTCCTCGACAGTCGTAAAAGTGAGCTTGGGTGGGTGGTCAGAGAAGGGTCCCCAGTAGGTCCAGTTGAAACCTTGTAGGCCTGGGTAGGCCTCCACCTTGACTTTGAGGTTGAGCTTCTCACCCACGGTCACCTCCTGGAGGAGGTTCTGCTCAGAGGTCAGGTTCAAGTAGGCACTCTCTGGGAAGGAGAACACACAGAGATCTGGCATTAATGGGAAAATGTCTTGGTTGGTGGGTTCGTTTGGTCATCTATCCATTGACCCAGTCACTCAGCTGGACCCTCCCTGGGTGCCTACCGTGTGCCAGGCACACAGTCCCCACCCTAACCAAGACTTGCCCTCTGATGTCTCCCTTCCCACCACCCGCCACAAAGCCCAAGGCTCCCAGCTCTTCTCACTGAGTCCCTGGGAGAACTTGGGTAAATTCCCATCCTTGCTGTCTCCACCTCCTTATTCACATAATGAAGAGGTTGAATATATCTGAGATGTGGTAACTTTTTGAAAACTATTTTAGCAGCAAAAAAAAAAATAATCTGTTGTTTTTTTCGCGCACCCCCACCCATTTCCCCTTCTGGTAAAAGTTCAGTCAATGCAGCTTCCACATCCAACTCTAAAGTGGGCATGTGACCCAGGTCAGCCAAGCATGGTAATCTGTTCCCTTTGGACCAGTGATTGGTTTGGGGTAGGCACATGAGTCCATCAGTCCATGACACTCATTTCCATGATTTTTGTTGGAACTCTGGGAAAAGAGAAGCACTTGTTCTACTGGGGTTGCCAAGCCTGCTGCTGCTAGGGGTCCCACAAGAAAAATGTAGAGCTGAGTGGTGAAAAGTAACTGACTCTTGTCCACATAATCTGAACACCTAGATCCAACTGTACCTGAAGCTCATATCTATGGGCTTTTTAGCTACAAGGCCAATAAAATCCTCTTTTGATTAAGCCAGTTTGATTTGGTTTCTTTTATCTGTACCTGAAAGAATCCTGACTAGTTTCTTCTAATTAAATCTTGCATGAATTAAAAACAAACTGCTCTGGTTGAATCTCAGGCAAAGGAGTTGTGGTAAGGACTCCCATTCACTCAGCCTCTCACAGAAGCCCCTAAAATGCCTTCTTAAAACCTGAAGGGTTTGCAAAAAGCCCTGGACTAGATGATCTCTAAAAGTTCCTCTCTTTACTCAATTCTAGGAAATCTAAAATTCCCTCTTCTGCCCTGTGATATGCCTGCTCAAAAGCCTCCTATGGCTCCCCATTGCCTCCACTATTCAGACTGACAATTAAGGCTCTTCTCAATCCAGTCTCCCTATGCCTATCCAGCCATCTCCCCTTTTCCTACAAACACACACACACACACACACACACACAACGCTCCACCCATCTGGGTCTCCTAATGTCCCCTGAACACACCACAATCATTCCATTGGACTTTGTGCTCAAGCCATTTCCTCCACCAGGAACCCTGTCTTCTTCCTCTCTTCGGTTTAGACTCTCATCCTTCAAGACTCATCCCCACCAGGGAGTCTCCACCCACCGCTCCAGGCTGTAGGGAGCTCTCCCTCCTCTGGACTCCTGTTGCCCTTCTAGATGACACATTCATTGGGCACCACGTCTACACTCCTTCATGCATCTGGTTCTCCCTTCAGATAACTGTCCTCTCTCTCCAACTAGTTTGTGAGCTATTAGGGCAGGCTTTTGTCTTCTTCTTCTCTCTCTCCTCGTAGCCATCCGTCTATCTATCCATCCCTCCATCCATCCATCCATTTAAACTCCAACCACTTCCCACCACCTCCACCATTCCCACCCTTAAAAAGCCACCGTCACTTTTAGCTTGGACTATTGCAGTAGCCTCCTAACTCGTCCTTCTGCTTCTATCTTTGTCTCCCTACAGAGAGTCCTCAACAAAGCACCAGAAAACCGTGTTAAATCTTGTTACTTCCAAGTCATCTTGTGTCGCTCCTTCACCTAAAGCCTCCAGTGGCACCCCATCTCTCTCAAGAGGAAAAGCCCAGGCCTACAGTAGCATACAGGGCCCTCCCCAGCTGCCTCTCTGACCTCCTCTTGTGCCACTCCTCCTCTCGTGTTCCACCCCAGCCACACTGGCCGGCTTGCTCCTTGCACGTGGCAAGCACAGGCCGGCCTTCAGAACACAGCTGGCCCCCTGCCGGAGCTCTCTTCCCCAGAGAGCTGCACGGCTTACTCCTTCACCGACTCCAAGCCTTTGCTCCAACGTCAGCTTTTCAGTGACATCCTCCTTGATGATCACTCCATTCTAAACTGCAAGCCCTATAGAATTGGCTTGGTTTTTAATAACTTATTCTGCTCATTTCTTGTCTTCTCTCATCTAGAGCACAAACGTCATGTGGGCAGGGGTTTTTGTCTCTCTTTCACCGGCAGCTGTATTCTGAGCATCTGGAACAGTGTCTGGCCAGAAGAGTGAAGGAACACAAACATTTGCTGAGTGACTACTGTGTGCCTGTGCTAGAAAACAGACGGGATTAGAACCCGTAACTGGGGGACAGCTCATGCGCTCCTCTCCCCACAAAGCTCCCAGCCGAGCTCGCATCCCTGGCAAGCCCAGCGCATTGCTGGTGCTGTCAGGGTGGTGCCTCTCCTGCTTCCCCCCTCACTCCCGTCTGTCTCCCATAACAATGAACACACGAGGTGTGGCCAGACCAGAATAACTCAGAGCCGTCCCACCCTGAAGGAACTCCCCTCTGGATTCCCAGCCCAGTGACAGCCACCGCCTCCCACCCAGTCATGTTCTCCTTCACCCCTTCATCCCAGCAGCCACCAAGTCTTGTCCATTGTCTCTCCTAAATGGCTTTGGATAACAGACTCTTCTGGCCCCACCATGATCCAGTGCCCTCTGTCATCTCCAGCCTGGACCACCGCGTCCACTGCCCTGGCGGTTCCCCAGCCTCCAGTCTCCCATCCAGCCCACACGGGGCATTACTCTGAGCCTTCTCAGGTTACATCTCCTCCTGGCGTGTACTCTGGGTCAGGCCCTGATCTGGCTACTGCATATCTGCAGATACACATGCTCATGTAATTCTCACAGCAAACCTATGAGGCAGTTACTGTTAGTATCCCCACTTTGCAGATGGGGAAACGGAGGCACAGAGAGGTTAAGCAACCTGCTAGTCATTGGTGGAGCCAGGTGGAAATGTTGCCGGGGAGTGTGGGCTCCTGACCACCACACAGTGCCCTCTCTGTGCAATCTGATCTCATCACTCTCCTCTAGAACCTTCGATGGCTGCCCAGCAGAATACAAACCAAACTACCCACCCACTTAAAGTCTCCTCTACCCTCTAGACTCTGCCTCCATCTCTGCTCCCCGTGGCCACTCCTCACACCAATCCACATCCCTGCTGTTGTCAACTTCTTTTGATGTCTCAAATTCTCTTTGCTCTCTTTGCCTTCGGGCTTTGCGTATGCTGTTCCCTCTGCCAAAAATGCTGTTCCCCTTCCTTTCCCACCCTTCTGCCTGGCAAACCCACCTTCATTCTTCCTGTCCCAGTTTAGATGCGCCTGCATCCAAGCCTGCATTGGGGGACCCACTCGGTGTTCCCAGGACACCCCGCTCTTCCCCCATGATCACACTGTTGGGCATTGTCTGTTTACATGTCCGTGCGATGTGAGTGTCCCAGGCAGGAAGGAGTGAATGAATGCGTGAATAGTGAAGTCCAGTAGGGAGCTACTGGACACTGATTCCAAAACAGAACAAAATGACGCTAAACCGAAATGCAGCAATGGAGGGAGAGAGGGCTTCTGGAGGAGGACCCGGGGGCGCTGCCAGAGGCGTGGCTCCCTAGCCGGGGCCAGGATGAAGGCATTCTAGCCAAGCTGTTCTTCAGTGTCTCCTCTGCCATCAGCTCCCTCCTTCTCAATCCCCTCATGCTCGTCCCTCCCCAGGCTCCCCGCCCACCCTCCCCCACCACCCGGATGCTCACCTACCACCCAGAAGACCATGGAGGAGGAGCGGACGCCCTGGGCATTGGTGGCCACGCAGGAGTAGCTGCCGGCATCTTGGAAGCCCACGTGACCGAGGCTGAGGGTCAGGACTTTGTGGTAACGGTTATCACGGAAGTCGGATTGTTGAGAGATTGTGAGCTGCAGCCAGAAGGATGGAAATGTTGTACCAAGGTTGTTTAGGGATTGGAAAGGTCTGGGTTCAAATACTCAGCCTTTAAGGATTATTATTTGCTTTTCCTTGGACGAGAGACTGAACTCCGAGCCTCAGTTTCTTCATCTGTAAAATGGGACTAATACTGGCCCTGTTCCCCCAGGGCTGCCATGGAGAGTAAATGAGAGTGTGTGCAGATGGCATGGGGCTGCGCCCAGCACACAGCAGCCACCGTGGAGGGGAGGGGTTCTTAGAAGCAGCCTAATGCCGTTCCCTCCTGGGAATGCTCTCTTCCTCCCTCTCTCCCAAGTCTTTCTGAAATTGCCCTAATATCCCTGGGCTTCGAAGGTGGCCTAGGAACCCCTTGTGAAGTCAGAAGTGAGCTGATGTCTGGCTCTTGTCTATAGGCTGGGGCAAAGGTCATGAGTCTACCCCCCTCATGACCTTTGCCCCACCCATACCCACAAGATTCAGTGGCATGGGGCTGAGTGCTGGTGATGAGATCTTGGGTGAGTCCACTGCCCTCTCCAGGTCTGGGCCATGCCCTCAGCCCAGAGAGCCGGCTTGTGGTGGGGCTGGGGGCTTCAGCCTGCAGGACCTGGTGTGCTGGGAGGATGGGCAGACCTCACCCTGCTGTCTCCCCATGGACTGACCTTGGTGTCTTCATGTTGGAGGAAGACGTCAAAGTTGACATCAACGTCACTGGCTGAGCACACGATCTGGGCAGTTTCCCCTTGAATCCGCACCAGCTCTGCAGGCTCCAGTGTCAAGGTTGGGGGCCCTGGGACAACTAAGGCCAGGGGAAGAGACCTATGAACACCCAGATCCCTGCCGTGGTCCGGGGTACTAGCCAGGACCCCCACCACATTCGCATCCCAAATCCTGAGAGGCAGCCTCGATGCCTCAATTTCCCCCCAGCAAGTCCTGTCTCCTAAATAGACCTTGAAAAGTCCACTTGCTTCAATCACCACCACCTCTCCCTGGTCCCCCCACCATTCTCTGCTCTGATCTCCTGCGACAGCCACCTGGGAGGTCTCCCGCCTCCCCTGTGACCCCTCCACAACTCAGACCCCTCACGGCAGCCAGAGCGAGCTCTTACGAGTGTAGGGTGGATCAGGCCTCTCGCCTGCACCAATATTCAGTGGCTTCCCGGCACTCAGAATACAAGCCAAAGTCCTTCCCACAACCCCGGGCCCTGTTACTGACCGCCCAACCACCTGCCGGCCTCCGCTCAGCGCATGGTGGCCGCACTGGCCTCCTGCCCCACCGCAGGGCCCTGCACCAGCCCTTCCCTCCTGGAACGATCCCATCCCATGCTTTGAATGGGTGCCTGTTCTCGTCCTTCACATCTTTAGCTCCAACATTCCTCAGAGAGGCCTTCTCTGCATGGTTTAGCTGGAGCAGCCTCCCCGCCACTCACATATCCAGCTTTCTCCAGCTTGGTTTCTTGTTCATCACGACTGGTGTCTTATTTACTTCCTCTCTAGTCTGTCTCCCCAGCAAACGGCAATTCCCTGAAGGCAATATCCCCAGCAGCGAGCCCAGAGCCTGACACATGGTGGGCATTGAATTAATATTTGTGGCTGCTGCTGTTCTTGAAAGATAATCTAATCCAGTTTCCCAAGGTCAAGAGATGCTGCGGGACCCACTCAAGGTCACCGAGGGGGTCATGGCAGAACTAGGGCCCGAGGCCCTTGGCTCCCAGCCACCCCGGGGCTGTGCAAGGTGAGATGCAGGGAGAGAACCCTGATGGCCTCTTTCGCCCACATAATGGGGCCCTTTGACTTCCTGGACAGAGTTAGTGGCCTCAGAGCCCAGGGCTTTGGGCCGGCCACACCACCCTGACCCGGCCCTCATTACAAGGACCTGATTCCCGTCTCAAGCCCGAGTTCTGAGCCTGGGGCCCTGCTTACTCACCCCAGTCCTTCCAGAAACCAGACTCGTGTCCACCAGCCCGGCAGAGGCAAGGGGGAAAAGGGGTGAGACTTCGCCACCATTGTCGCCCCCACAGTCTGAGCTGTCCCACGCTCCCACCACCACCTCCCTATCCTTTGGCTCCCTGCTCCTCCTCCATGTGCCCAGTGCCCAACACTGGGCTGGCACTGAGCAGGGAATCCACATCTGAGGTCATGGGAGAGCTTCGGGCCGTCTTTCTGCTCCTGGAAGATTCAGAACCTGTTGCCACCTCCTGACTTTGCACCTGCAGTTTCTTCTGCTGAAGCAGATCTTTGCCGGCCACCTCCTTCTCATCATTTGCATCTCAGCTCAAATAAAATGTCATTCTCTCAGTGAGGCTCCCCTCCCCCCACCCCCCATGCTCTCTCTTCCATCACCTTATTCAATGATTTTCAAGGCGTGTCTCGTGGGCTGAGACAATGTCGCCCACCGAGTTATCGTCTTGCATGTAGTCTGTCTCCCTGCGCCCAGCACACCCTCTTGCTTTGCCCCAGTAAGTGCCCCACAGATGACTATGGCACCATCGGAAGGAAGAAATGAAAGAGGAGGGATGGCCAGTTACTGCCCATCAGTCCAGGGCCCCAGCCACCACTCGTACAGCTGTCAGCTCTCTGTCCCTGCCCTCCAGGCCTGGCTTGCCCCACCCTGCGCCACGCACCTTTCTGCACTTTAAGCCGGATGCTGATCGACGTCGCCGTCCTGCCGTCTACCCGAGCACTGCATTGGTAGTCCTGGCTCTCAATGAACTTGGCCTTGTGGATGGTGAAGCCGTGCCATAGTGAGAAGGAGTAGCTGGTTTGGCGCAAGACAGGCCGGCCGCGCACCCGCATCAGCGAGACGCCAGCCTCCAGCGCCGGGTCGGTGAGCAGGCAAGGCAGTAGTGCATCCTGACCCTCCAGCACTGTCACTTCCTCGGCCAGAACCTTCCAGGGCCGAACAGGGTCTAGGGTGGAGGGGGATACAGAGTTACAACTGCCCTCCCTCCACCAGGCCGAGCAGTCCCTGGACTTGGGTGACAGAGAGGCTCAGAGACACTGATTATTTGCCTGAAGTCACATAAAACTAAGGAAGCTCAGGTGATGCCTGGGGCTCTGGAACCAGGTCCAGCCACACTACTTGATGCTGTGTGACCTTTTGCAAATGACTCAACCTCTCTGAGCCTCTGGGAAATGGGCATAATCATAGAATCTACCTCACAGAGTTATTGTAAAGACTACATTAAATTAGAAGTACTGCCGCAGGTCCTCGTTCATGGCACGCACTCAGTAAATGTAGAGCTGTTTCATTATGATTGCTAATATTAGGGCCCAGCCCTCCTGCCCATTCCTGGTGGGACCTGCTGGGCCAAGCCTCCTGGGAGTGGGCTCAGAGTCCTCACCTTTGACAAAGAGGTGGATGGTGGCGCTGCCCCCCAGGGGGTCTCCAGGCTCCGTGCAGCGATAGGTCCCCGTGTTTTGGAAGGTGGCATTATTCGTGGTCAGGATGCTGCCGGGGGCATCTGGGTCCAGGGTCCAAGATGGGGAGATGGGGCCATCCCATTCCACGCTGCCGTTGCCCACACATCGCAGGGTCACCCTTGTGCCTGGCTCCACAATCAGCTCAGGGCCACTGGGCTGTATCACTGGGACCCCCTGACCTGGTGATGGGGGGTGGCAGACATAAGAACGGCCTGAGGGGACTCCCTGGGGCCATTCCTTGCCTCTGAGATGGGTGGTGTCCTGCCAGGGGTGGTGCTGGTGCTGGGGTTCAGCTGTGACTTGCGGGATCCCCCTAAACAAGTCTCTGCCCCTCTCTGGTCATTTGCTCAGCCTCCAACCCCAAACCTGCTGGGGGATGGACTGTTGTCTCTGATGTTCAGCAGGCCCCTCCCCTGAGAAAGGGGGGCTGGCAGGTTTCTCATCCTCCCACCCAGCTGCTGTCCCAGGGGGGTCCCCGGCCTCCTGCCTCAGTCTTCCCGGCTGTGATTGCATCAGTCTCCCCAGGAGTGGACTCCTTCAGCCCTGGGTCCAAAATGGGCTACTTCCCTGGTGGTGAGCCCGGGATCTGGCTCAAAGCAGGGAGCTCAAACAAGCAAAGGAAGAAACACATGACTGGAATGGCCATGGCAAAGTCCTCCGACTCAATTCATATGGGGAAGAAGGAAAGAGGTGTCGGATCTTAGCCTAGCAGAGCTAGAAAGTTCCAAGAGTCTTCTGTTCTGCTGCCTCCCACCATTGGACATCTGGTCTGTAGCACAGTGGGATGGTTCGGAAGCTCTGTGCCTCAGTTTCCCCACCTCTAAAGTGGGGACAAAAGTTGTACCCATTTATTGGGATGTCAGGAGGTTTAAATGCATAGGAAGCCTTTACAACATCACCTGTCACCAAACAAATACTCAATAAGGGTTAGCCATTATATTTATTACCCAGTCTACCCCCAGCAGCCCACCTCGACACCCCAGGACTGCTGTGTTTACTGGGGAGCCAATCTCTTTTAAGGAAAATTTTCTTGAAGGAGAAAGGAGAACTTGAAACCCCTATCGGGCCCTCCGGGAAGAAGGCCCGTTGCCTCTGCAGTGTCAGCATTTTTCCAGGGCCTAAAATAGGGCAACGGGGGGAAGTGAGAGCTGATTCAGGGCCTCGGAGGGGCTGCCAGGCGCCCCCGGCCTGCGCGGGAGGAAACACATTGCTGGCGCCAGGCCTGGCCCGGGTTTCCGCTCAGCCTGTGGCCCTTCTCCCAGGGATGTTCTCGCTTCTGCTTCCAGGCCTCCTGGCTACCGTCCCCTCTCCAGGAGAGAGACTCCTAGAGAGGGAGTGCCACCTGCTGGGCACTGACCACCCTGGGCTGTGAGGCCTGGCTCTGCCTCTGGCCGCTGGGTGCCCCTGGTGAGTCCAACCCCTCTACTCTGGCCCCTTCTGTTCCCAGTGATGGGAGGCAGACATTCCAGCCCCCAGGGCATTGGGTGAATTTGGGGCTTCTCCATTGTCCTGCACAAAGTCTCTTTAAATGGCTATTTCCACCACCCCCTGCAACCCCCCAGAGACCCGAGAATTGGAGAGATCTTCTCTGTCAAATGATTTCAGGGAGGTTAGATTTGTGTTTCGATTTTGTCCCCATCAGAGTCGTGCAGCCTGTCTGCTCGACCTTCTGATCCACACGAAGGGCTCAGTGAACTGGTGAACACTGCCTCGCCCGAGGTCGCAGCCCCCGTGCCGCGTGACCATAGGGAGAGGGCACACGTCATTTCTAGCAGGCTCCTGGCAACTCTCAGCTGAGCTGGCGCTGCCGGATTACAGCTGCAGGAACGCAGGGCCCAGGCTGGGGTTTATTGCAGGGAAGCGCTTGGACTGTGGGGTCACACCCACAGGTGTCTGAAACCTGGTTCTCCCTCACTAGCTGGGTAGCTTGCTTAACCTCGCTGACTCTCAGGCTACTCTTCCATCCCCTGGGAGCAATCCAAGGCCCACCTCTCAGAGGTCTTGGGAGGATGCAGTGAGCGGATGCCCAGCCCCTGGCTCCGCCGGCTGCTCCTGCCCTGGGTTCCTGCTTCAATTGCTTATGTTTCTAACCTCCTTTCTGGTGCTGGCACTCTGATATCCAAAGCTTTTAACCGTTAAAGGTCACAGTCAATGACTGTGACATCCCGTGGTCTCTGATTCTGCGATTCCTGCCGTGTTCTGCTTCTGCACCCGCTGTTCTCGCAGGCGCCTGCTCCCCTCCCCTCCCCAGCCTTGTCCCTCCAGCCCCTGCCCTGGCCTCCTGGAAGTGTAGTCAGAGAGAGGCGTCTGTCCTGTCGTTTGCCCAGATATTCACGCAGGACACGACTGACATCCTCAACTTCCGCCCCCACTTCCTCCTGCTGGCCTGACTGGTGGGAAGGGGCAGCCGTGCTCAGGCTCCATCCTCCTGGGTTGGCAGCTGCGGTTTGGCCAGCACCGACCAAGGCTCTCTTCTGCTTCCTGTCCAGTCTTCACTCTCTCATCTCAGCTCCCCAATTCTCCCCGCGCCCCAAACGTCCTCACCCCCTCCCGCTTCCCTAACAGACCCCTCCAACATCAGCTCCCGGGATACGCCCCAGCCTCCACTCTTCTCCCTCTGCACACACCCTGCACACCAAGGTCTGGCATGCAGCCGCCTCCTCAGCGCAGGGTCTGCGGGAGAAGTGAGCCTCCCGTCTACTGTCGAGCTGACAGCTCAGGTTTCCAGCCTGCTGCCCCATCTCTTCTTCCTTCTGGGGCTGGACGCTGGAGAGCCCCTCCTCCCCCAGCAATGCCTCACAGGCAGGCTGTGGGCATGAGCACAAGACAAGGCAGTTTTAACCCATGGAACTCTCTGGGGTGAGGGGAATAGTCTCTATCTTAAGCGAGATGGTGGGTACACAAACAAATGCACTTATCAAACCTCGTCAAACGTACACTTAAGAATCTGTGCTTTCTACTGTATGTAAATTACATCTCAATAAAAAAGAACAGACACTCAAGCCCAGTGGGAATGACTGGGCCAGACAAAGACCTTCAGTGGGCCTTTTCCTCGTCAGGGACGAGACGCACCTGCATCCCGGAGTCCTGCAGCCCCAGGACTGTGGACGGGCCAGAGCTGAGGCTACCCTCCCACCCCAGCCCCACCCCCACCCTCCCTCAAGTTCCCTCCAAATAAGTGTGAGAGAAAATGCAACACGTTTGTTGGGCCAACAGCAGCCATGAGCCAAGCACCCAGCCCCTCACACCCAGTTAGGCACCCTCCTGGATGGAGATTCTGTATCTCTGTGGCTGCCAGAGGGATGGAGTTGGGGTGGGGTCTGCCACAGAGCTCCCTGTCCTGAGGACCCGCAGCCTGTGTCTGGGAGGGCTCTGGCCCAGGAGACCCTTGCTATCCTCCCCCCAGATCTGCCTTGGGCTCTATACTCTCTCCTCTGCCCAGGCCAGAGAAGCTAACCTCTCATCTTTCCTTCCCACCCCTTACTCAAGCCTCCCAAGGCAGGACCAGTGCCCCTTCAGGCCTTTCCAAGTCAGGTCCTGCCTACAGTCAGCGAGTCACAGGCTGGCAGAGCTGGGACAGCCATCAGGGGCTCTCTAGGTCCTCCCTACTCAGTATACATCTGGACCACAAGCTTTGGAGCTTGTTAGAAAATGCAGAATCTGAGGTCGCACCTGAGACCCACTGAGTCGGAATCTGCATTGTAACAAGGTCCCGTAATTTGCACGCACATAAAATATGAAAAGCACTGCTTTGGTCCAGTCCATCACCATCCCCAACATCTACCATTGACTAGATGTGGACATTGAAGCCCCGAGAGCCCCAGGAACTTGTCTAGGACACACAGTGAGATCCGCAGCCCTGCCCGGGCTGGTTCCATCCCGCCCACACTCTCTTTTCTCTTTTCCCTTCATTGCCTCTCCAAAGCAGATACCTATAAACCTGTAGTCCAAGCTGGGGAGATGGAAGCACAAAGCGGGGACTTTCAGTGATGGGCAGAGGTTCACAGAGTCCTTCCACAGTGGCCCTCACTGTCACATCTCCCAAGCCGCGCTCCACACCCCCCAAGCCCCGAGGGAAGAGTTCCGCTCTTACCATGCCAAGCGGTGGCCACCAGCAGGACCAGCAGAGCCCCCAGGCCCATGGCCTCAGTGGGGAGGCGGCAGGCTGAGGCAGGGCTGAGGGGCGGTCAGCGCTCTGAGCTCCCTGCTGCCAGCTCCACAGGGACCAGGACCACAGGACGCACGTTCCTCTCTGCTGCACTGGCTGCCTGTCTTGTTTTCCTCTTCCTCCTCCTCCTCCTTGGGTTGATCCTCTTCTTCCCCTTTTAGCTAGGCAAGGCAACCACAGAGTTTGGAAATCTTGGGTCTCTAGAAGAAAACAAAGCCATGACCCCCAGAGGGAGGGGCTAGAGTCTGGGGCAGGGCCAGCCTGAGCCTGGGGGAGCTGGCAAAGTTTGGGGCCCTTCTGTAGCTACCTCCAAGGGGCCCTGGGAGGAGAGACAGTCAGTTAATCAGCAGCACAAATGGGGGTCTTCAGAGGGGCCAGGTGGCTCTGGCTAAGCTGAAAAGGAAGTCGGATTGGTCTGGGAGAGCCTGCTGACAGTAGCAAGAGCTTCCATTAACGGGACACTCACCAGTCAAGCCCTTTACATTCACTGCCTCCTTTGGTTCCCACAAAAATTTTATGTGGTGGGTACTGTTATCATCCCCATTTCACAGACGGGAAAACTGAGGTCCAGAGAGATCAAATGCCTTAAGCTTGCCCACGGTTACGTGGCTAGCAAACAGTGGAGGTGGCATTAGGATCCAGGCAGCCTCGTTGTAGAACTGCCTTTTCGTGGATTAATTCAGTTTGTTTATTTATTTATTTTTACAAAGAATCTAATTGTACTGCTATATTTCTTAAGAAAAATAGAAAGTGTTCCTCCGCCTCCTCCTTTCCTGGAGGCAATTGCTTTTACCAGTTTTAGTTGATTCTCTTAGAATTTTCTTTCTTATTTCTGTCAAGATGATTGTAAAATTATTTCTTGAAACTAAAAACTCCCAATATAACATGGATCCAGGAAAATGGTTATTTTTCCATGTACTCAGGTGGAAATAATATATATATATATTTTTTTTTTTCAGGAAAGTGTTTTGAACCTTTAGTAATCATGAATACCAATCAGAACTGACTCAAGAAGAAATAGAAAATCTAAATAGACCTATAAATAGCAAAGACATTGAATCAGTAATTAAAAACCCCCAACAAAGGACCAGATAGCTTCACTGGTCTACCGAACATTTAAAGAAGAATTAACTCCAATCCTTCTCAAACTCATTCAAAGAATAGAAGATGAGGAAACACTTCTCAACTCATCCTATGAGGCCAGCATTACCTTGATACCAACAGCAGACGAGAACATCACAAGAAAAGAAAACTACAGACCAATATCCCTTATGAATACAGATGCAAATGTCCCCAACAAAATACTAGCAAACCAAATACAACAGCATATTCAAATGATTATACACCATGACCAAGTGAGATTTATCCCAGGAATGCAAAGATGGTTCAACGCATGAAAATCAATCTAATATATCACATCAATAGAACAACAAGAAAAAAACCCACATGATCATCTCAATGGATGCAGAAAAAGCCTTTGACAAAATCTGACATGCTTTCACAATAAAACACCCAACTGACTAGGAATAAAAAGGAATATCCTCAACATGATTAAGGGTAGATATAAAAGCTCACAGCTAACTCAATGGCAAGAGACTGAAAGATTTCCCCATTTAGATCAGAAACAAGGTGAGGATGCCTGCTCTCACCGTGTCTATTCAATACTGTACTGGAGAATCCAGTCAGAGCAATCACAAAGAAAAGGAAATAAAAGTCATCCAAATTAAAAAGGAAGAAGTAAAACCATCTCTATTCATAGACGACATGATCCTATATACAGAAAAATCCTAAAGAACCTACAAAAAAATCTATCACTGCTAATAAATGGATTCAGCAAAATTGCAGGATACAAGATCAACACACAAAACTCAACTGTATTTTTATACATTAGCAGTGAACAATCCAAAAAGGAAGTTTGAAAAATAGTTTTATTTGCAATAGCATCAAAATGAATAAAATCCTGGGGAATAAATTTAACCAAGGAGATGCAAGACATACACACTGAAAACCCCAAGACACTACTGAAAGAAATTAAGAAGACTAAATAAATGAAAAGACATCTCGTGTTCATGGATTGAAAAATTTAGTATTGTAGAGATGGTAATACTCCCCAAAGTGATCTACAGATTTAGTGCAGTCCCTATCAAAATCCCAATGGCCTTTTTTCTGCAGAAATGGAAAAGCTGATTCCCAAGTTCATATGGAATTTCAAGAGACCTCAAACAGCCAAATCAATCTTGAAAAATAGCAAAGTTGGAGTCACATTTCCCAATTTCAAAACTTACTACAAATCTACAGAAATCAAAGCAGTGTGGTATTGGCATAAAGACAGATATGTAGATCAATAGAATAAAATTGAGAGTCTAGATATAAACCTTCACATCTACGATCAATTGATTTTCAACATGAGTGCCAAGACCATTCAATAGGTAAAGAACAATCTTTTCAACAATGGTGTTAAAAGAAGTGGATATCCACATACAGAAGAATGAAGTTGGACCCTTAATTCACACCATATACAAAAATTAATTCAAAATGGATCAAAGACCTGAATGTAAAGCCTAAAAGTATAACACTCTCAAAAGAAAGCATAGAGGTAAATATTCATGATCTGGACTTGAAAATGGTTTCTTAGATATGTCACCAAAGGCACAAGTAACAAAAGAAAAAATACATAAATTGGACTTCATCAAAATTAAACATTTTGATGCATCAAAGGACACTATCAAGGGAATAAAAAGTTATCACAGAATGGGAGAAAATATCTGCAAATCATATATATATATAAGAATTAGGTATCAAGAATATATTTATACAAAACTCCTATACCTCGACAACAAAAAGACAATGACTCAACTTAAGAGTGAGCAAAAAAGTTGAATAGATATTTCTCCAAAGAAGATAGACAAAAGGCAAACAAGGACATGAAAGGATGCCTAACATTAGTCATTAGTCATTAGGGAAATGCAAATCAAAACTCTAATGAGATACCACCTCACACCAACTAGGTTGGCCATAATAAAAAAAATCAGAAAATAACAAGTGTTAGTGAGGATGTGAAGAAATTGGAGCCTTTGTACATTGCTGGTGAGAATGTAAAATGGTGCAGCTACTGTGGTAACCAGTTTGATAGTTCCTCAAAAATTAAACACAGAATTACTATATGACCCAACATTTCCACTGTTAGGTATACCCAAATGAAGTGAAAACAGAGACTCAAGCAAATACATACACATGAATGTTGAATGTAGCACTATTCACAATAACCAAAAGGCGGAAGCAGTTGCTGACTAGATAGACAAAATGTGGTATATTCATTCAATGGAATATTATTCAGCCATAAAAAAGGAGTGAAGTAAACATGTCACAGTGTGGATGAACCTTGAAAACACCATGCTAAGTGAAAGAAGTCAGACACAAAAATGTCATCTATCCTATGACTACATTTATATGAAACATCCAGAATAGATAAATCCATATAGACAGAAAGCAGACTTATGGTTCTGGGGCTAGCAGAAAGGGCAATGGGGAATGACTGCTTCGTGGGTAGCTTGCTTCCTTTTGAAGTGATGGAAATGTCTTGGGACCAGATAGAGGTGAGGGTTGCACAACATTGTGAATGTACTAAATGTCACCAAATTGTACACCTTAAAATGGTTGATGTTTAAATTCATGTTATGTAAATTTTACCTCAATTAAAAAAAAGAGAAGATGGGATAGACTGTCCTAGAAAAACAAAAACTGAGGGAATTCATTGCCAGCAGACCAGTACCACAAAAGCAAAAATGTTAAGGGAAGCTCCTCAGGCAAAAAAATAATAATAATAATACCAGGCAGGACTTGGATATATACCCAAAAATAAAAAGTGCTGGAAACGGCATAAATAAAGATAAATATAAAAAATATTTTTATCTTACTTTGAATTGCTAGAAAAGATAACAGACTGTCCAAAACAGACATTGGCAAACTTTCTCTATTTACAGAGCCAGATAGTGACTAGCTTAGGCTTTGTGGGTCATGAAGTCTGTTTGGCCACTACTTAACTCCGTCACTATAGTGCACAAGCCGCCACAGACAACCCATAACCCACAGAGCGTAACTGTGTTCCAATAATAGCTTATTTACAAAAACAGGCCACAGGCTAGATTTGGCCCATGGGCTATAGTTTGCCAACCCCTGATTTAAAGCAAAATGGTAGCAATGTTTTGTATGGTTAGAGAGTATATAAAAGTAAAATGTATGACAACAATAACAATACCACAAAAGATGGGAGGGACGGATGTGCAGTCTGCTGCTGTAAGCTCCTTGTACTATGTTCAAAGCAGCATAATGTTATTTTAAGGTAGACTTTGATTAATTAAAGATATATATAGTAAAACCTACGATAGCCACTAAAAATTGTTTTAAAGATCTAAGTTATAAGCCAATAGTGGAGACAAAATAGAGTCATAAAATATACTCAATTAATCCAAAGGAAGACATAAAAAGAGGAAAAAAGAAAGAAGAAAAAAGAAAGAAGAGTAAAAAAGAAAGAAAGAAGATGGAAGAAATAGAAAACATCTAACAAAACGGTAGGTTTTAATCCAACTGTATCAAAAATTATCTTAAGTGTAAGCAGTCTAAATATACCAATTAAAAGACAGAGGTTGTCAGATTGGTTAAAAAAGCAAAACCTAAGTATTTGGTTTACAAGAAGCCCACTTTAAATATAAAGACATAGATAGGATAAAAGTGAAAGGATAGGAAAAGATATTCCATGTAAAGAGCAATTAAAAAAAAAAAACTGTGGTGCTGTATTAATACCCAACAACGTAGACTTGAGAATCATGAATATTTCTAGAGATAACGAAGGATATGACACAATGACAAAGGAGTCAGTTATCCAAGATTACATAATTCTAAATGGATATGCATCTTAGAACAGAGCTTCAAAATATGTGAAACAAAACTGATAGAACTGGGAGAAGAGAGAGA